GATGTCTTCTTTTTTCCCCCCACAACCTGAAAGTGATCTGAACATGGCTGGCTCAGGAATTCAGGGAGCAAAAGTCCACAAGTTGTAAAGTTGTCATAGTTGCCCACCCCTCTCCTGTGGCATATGTTATAAGCAAAAAACTCTGCTTCACCCAACTGGGGCTTCTAGCATTTTCTAGTATTTTCACTGAAGTATTTTGCAGGTGTGAGGGTGGCAGTTAACTGAATCCATAAATGCAGGTGTTGGCGCTTTCTTTACAGCTTTGCTTGACTTGCCTTCACTGATTTATTACTGCTGACAGGGTTTTAGAGTTGCTTCTGTGACTTGTGAATCATAACCGTTACACTCCTAGCCCTTGAATTTCACCCATTTATACTTCTCTGAATCCTTGATGAAAAAGCCTTTTCAATAATAATATTCAAGTTGATGGAATAAGAGGAGCAACCATGGTTTGATCACTTTTGGACACAAAGCAAATATTGTTTTATTTCCAGGTCTTTTAAGATCTTTAAAAATCTCATTTTCTCAAGTCTTTAAAATGTTTAGGTTCATTCGGAGGGGGTTGCTTATTGTTTTTAGTAGTGGTTTGATGTACTGTGCAACACGGGGATATTTTCTTTATACACTCATAGTTGCCTTTCAGCAACTGACAAAAAAAACAACAACAACATAGCAATGAAATGAAGAAAGAAATAGTGATCCATAAAAGTGGTGAGTTGTTGATCAACAAGAGTCATAGCTTTCCCACTACTACATTAATGAGTTTTTTTTTTCTTTGTCTAAACGAAACAAGTGAACTGTAGGATAAAATCAATCACTTGTAATTTTGACTTCATACAACTATTATCTTTTTCCTATTGCTACTCCTGATGCAGGTGGAAAGGGCATGGGAGGTTGGGAAGGAGGAATCCGTGTGCCTGGAATAGTTAGATGGCCAGGAAAGGTCGCTCCTAATACTGTTCTTGATGAACCCACAAGTCTGATGGATATTTACCCCACTGTGGCTCATTTGGCTGGGGCATCAGTGCCACAAGACAGGTATGCAGTTTTGTTCTAAAAGTGAATGAGATATTCAATATTAACTAAGACAAACATGCAAAATATATTAAAAATTAGGCTATGAAAGAGTTTGATTTTGAAGACGGTAATGGGACACCTAAAAGCTCAAATGCTGCACAGTGAAGCAACTGGGTCCCCGTCCTCCTCCCCCCCCCCGCCCCCGAATTGTATGTATAAGTGGAAGATGTGTCTTTTGAGTTCACTACCCATCACAGCCACCAGCAGCAATTAGGTTCCTGGCATAATGTTTTCTATTGTCACGTGGCCTAATTTGAGGACAAGTAAAAATAGAAAAACAAATGCACCAGATGTGTTAGATTCTGCTTGCTTCCTAAAAAGCTCATATAGACACTCATATAAACCCTAGATGAACTGCCTGGTGAGTTTTGCAGGCAGCCCTGGTTCACACATTTCTTTATCAGCATGTCTTGACATCTCTGTAAATTAGATATATCTAAACCATAAGAGAAATTTGAATACAACTTATGTTTTCTAAGTATAAGTATGCATTCCCCCAACATTTTAGGAGCCTGGATAGCTCAACAGACTAAAAAGCCTGTTATTAACATTCAGCTGTCTGCAATTATTTCAAGTTCGAATCTCCCCAGGCTCAAGGTTGACTCAGCCTTCCATCCTTTCTAAGGTAGGTCAATTGAGGACCCAGTTTGTGGGGGCAATAAGCTGACTTTGTATAAAATATACAAAAGTATGAAGGCTATTGCTTAACGCATTGTAAGCTGCCCTGAGTCTCTGGAGAAGGGCGGCATATAAATCTAATAATAAAAAAAAACATTTTAAATTTATTTATTGTACTCCATCACATTCATTATAAGCTTTATAATTTACATCAAGTTCTTGCACAACTTCATAGTCCTCCTTTATGTAATTACAGCAAATCTATGAGCACTATCCATGAAACTGGGGGTGTGTGTGTCAAAACTTACTAGGAAAGAAGAACCTGATTCAGATAAATAAATGCCAACACTGGCATTAATGGTTTTTACATTCTTTTTATAATCCTTGTAATTTTCAACAAAGTCCTCTCTTTAGACTTTGCCTTGAACCTTTTGGCAGCTATATTAGTCAGGGACAACCCTTTCATAGACGTATTGTTCCTTTTGGTAGGATAATTGATGGGAAGAACTTAGTACCTTTACTGCGGGAGGAAGTTAAACACTCAGAGCATGAATTCATGTTTCACTACTGTGGGTCACATTTACATGCAGTGCGTTGGTACCAGAAAGAGAGTAAGTATAAATTGTCTCCCTTGAGTATATGCTGTAAATTTCCAGGTGTGTGTGTGTGAGAGAGAGAGAGAGGGGGGGGGGAGGGAGGGAGGGAGGGAAGGAGGGAGAGAGAGAGAGAGAGAAAGAGAGAAAGTACAAACTCTACTTTATTTTTCCTCGATTTAATCGATATGCCATGCCATGTAGCTTCTGGGCCACAATTTGACTTGGTATGCCAATGTTACTTTGCATATCCCTATACACCCGTATAGAAAACAACGATACATCCCGATTTTTAAAAAGTGCCATTCAGTACCGCATGATTTTTCATTTACTATGCATAGATTCATGCTTGCATGCTGTAAAGGTGGCTTAACCTGTGAAGAGATTATAAAACAGCCCAGGTTTGTTCCTTGATACTGTTTCTCTTCTACGGGTTGCCATTCTTATCTTGGGAGTTTTTCATTCTACTGTACAGCTACTTTGCGGTTCTGCAAAATTGAAAAATCAGTAAGGTTTGACTTCATTTCCTTTTAAAAAAACTTTTTAAAGTTGCCTGGCTATCAGTTTTTTTGGAAGATGTGCTCTGCAAACAAATCACCAAGTTGCACAATGGATGCCATGGATGTATTTTTATGCCTCATATATGATTAGTTGATTTGTCTCGAAGATAAAAATCAGTTTTGCATGCTATATTCCAAACGCAGGGCAAAAATTTGCTATGAGTAGCTCTGAATTATTTTTTCTCCCCTTTTGCAGTTCTACATTTTATTCTTCTTCAAAGCAACAGAATTGTTAAATATGTATATTGCTTGATTTGAAAATGATCCATCATTCTAGATAATTATAAGATGTTTAACTCCATAGCCAAGTTTATGACTCTAGTTTTAATATATTTGGCAATGCTGTTGGAATTCAAGACCATCCTTCACATAAGGCAGTAGCTGAGTTTGCATGAAACATTGTCCCATACTTAATTGAACTACAGTTTATTGAATCAACCCAATTTCCTGAGGTCACATATAAAATCACAGTCAAGTTGGTATTGGATGGATGGATGGATGGGTGGCTGGATAAATGAATGAATGAATGGATGAATGAATGAATGAATGAATGATGAATGAATGAAAATTCAACAGCTTGAAAAGGAACCAATCATATCTCTCTTTTCTGACAAATTATCAAGGCCCAAACCAAGGTGGGGAAATGTCACAGAAGTAAATTAGTGGAATTAATTCAAATCTCTTTTCAGTGTTGTGGATAGACTTGGGAAATGACAGGATTATATGATAGCTACTGAATATCTATTTGCTCTCTTAAAGGTGGTGCGCTTTGGAAAGTCCATTATGTAACCCCAAACTTTGAACCCCAGGGGGCCGGAGCCTGTTATGGAATTAAAATGTGCCAATGTTTCGGTGATGAAGTAACCCATCATAACCCTCCTTTGCTTTTTGATCTTTCACGTGATCTTTCAGAGACCAACCCCTTGTCCCCAGCTTCTGAACCACTGTTTAACATGATCATAAGTCAAATGGCAACAGTAGTGGCCAAACATCGTAATACTCTCACACCTGTCCCCCAACAACTTGATATGTACAATATTGTTTGGAAGCCTTGGTTGCAGCCATGTTGTGGGACATTCCCTTTTTGTTGGTGTAATGATGAAAGCAATAATGATACTATCATTAAATAGATTTTAAGAGAATTATTGAACTAAAGTTGTCTTAAATGTTTTCTTCATATAGTTGGTGAGAAATAGGATACTTGTAATGCTCCTTAAATGAGGAACATTACAAGTTCCTTAATTAGGATGGTGAGTTACAAGCTTATTTTGTCTGCAAATGTCATGATTAAACAATGTAATAGTTAATTGTATCAAATTAGTTGGCTAGCCCTTTGTAAATGAGATAACTGCTTCTTTCTTTGAGACATACAAACTATAACTGTTTCATTTTTTCTTAAATAGATCACCTCCTTATCAATATAGTTTTTTTAGACACATGCTTGTAGACAGCCAAATATTTCCAAGCAGTTTAAATTTTGAATCAACTGCAAGAAGCAGCAGCAGTGGAAACAGATGGAAACATCTGTTCTATGACAAGTGTTTGCTTTCTTTAAAATGTTCTTTTCAGATCACTTTATGGATATGATCCACAGGGGTACATAATTTGACCGTTATGTATTATTACTAGATACTTCTTTAGCATCACTTTTCCTTCCTGCCCCATCTATTTCTTCACATTCTTTAAATTAAGAGAAATATACAGTTGGCATCCTGCAAAACCTGGTGCCACACTCCAGCATAATCTCTATTTGCAAGAAACAAAATGGATTCTGTGTTGTAACAGAAGGAAGGAAAGGCCTTACAATTAAAATAGTGCCACTACGAAAGATAATGCCGTTTCCCACTGGGGTCTTAGGCCAACTGACAGAGTCAGGTCTTCAGGACCTTAAGGAAGGCCAGGAGGGTGGGAGCTGATTTCACCCCAAGGGGGGGGGGGGTTAGATGTTCCAAAGGGCAGGAGCCACAGCAGAGAAGGCTCGTCTCCTGGACCACATCAGCTGAAATACCTTGACTGGTGGGGCCCGCAGCCTGTCTCCTCTGCCAGCGCGTTATTATTCCTAGTATAACACTCACTGCTTTCTAATTATTCACGAGTATACTTTTATAAGATTCTTAAATCAGTTAATATGATGAGAACAGGACCATGGAGATTTCAAGAATATAAAATGTTTATTTGATAAACTACTGCATTACAAAAATGAAGAAAAAAATGGAAATTATAAGGTAGAATCTTTACTAAATATTTACAAAATCAGAAAGTATCAAATCAAAATTAAAAAGAAATAAAAGTCGGTGGAAAAACATAAATTATGTAACACTGACACCTCCTTGCATGCAAAAGTAAACTTCTTGAAGAAACTATTAAATAAATCTGTGATTTAGGGCTGCAACCTAAAACAGGGACAGAAAATTACAAAAAAAAACTTAGAGGACACAACAAATATATTTCAAATGTTCTAACAGATAAAAGGTTCGCTTTAGTTTTGGTAATCATCTCAATGGATACATAAGGGTTTTAGTGATTCAACTGTGCATAATGCTTTGGAACAAGTTATCCTAAGATTCAATGTTAAAATTTAATAATTTTAAATACTCCTAGGTAAAAAGGCTATAAAGTTATAATTTTATCAAGAATTAACCATTTGACAGTAAATAAAAAAATGCACATTACCAATAAAAGAAAAAAGTGGCCCATTGAATTCAATGTGACTAAGTTTCTATTACAAACACTGTTGAATGCCCCGTTTAATTGTACCAATGGTGAGCTGTCAATTAACCAGATGAAATATTCTTTTGCCTTCCTGCATCTGATGAAATGGGCTTCAGTTCAGAGACTTATAGTACAATGACACATGACTTAAGATGCTACAAGCTGCTCTAAGTTAGGATGTAATAGATTAATATGTGTAGACCTCTTCCAAAAATATTGACAGTATAATGCGTAAGAGTTCCTAGCCAGCTGAATTTCAGTTAAAGTACAGCATGATATATAGTCTTCCATTAATAAGGTAAGGATAGGCAAGGTTTTATCAAACCTATAAAATCCTCCATACCCAGAGATAAAATCCTCCATACCCATATATTTGGATCATGCCCTTATGTGTGCTTATTAGCCCTGTTGTGTTTGCGTCTTTTACTTTCAAGTTTTTTATACCCTCTTCCATGCCAAATCTAGTATGAAAAATGTATTTGATCTACAAGTATGAAGCCGTTTATCATAGTTTCAGATTAATTTTCTAGCTAGAAAGTTTACAGGATGCAAGGCTGTAGAGGCTATTCCTAAGCTAAGGAAGGTTCTGGAGAAGTTGAACCAAAGTTTGACTCAGCAAAAGGAAAGCTTAAAAGTTCCATGCATTTCATTCTTTGAAAGTAAATACTGGCAAATACATATTTATCTAGGCTTGCAAGTTTAGTCATGTCAGAAAACCTATTTTTGCCAAAATTTCCCTTTCACCAAAGCAAAAGATATAATCCTGAAGGTTTTGCATGCTCTGCAAATGTAAACAGACCAATTGCAATAAGGATAAGAAAAAACACCTATAATAAAAAAGCATCTAACTTCTTCTTGATGTTTTCGAAAGCATCTTTTCCTAGATAATCAATATGGCCCTCCTCCCACTTCCTTCGTTCATCTTCTGCACTTGATTCCTTTGCCTCCGGCTGAATAGTCACCTCTGCAACAGGGCTGACAAATTCATTCTAGAAGAACAAAGAATGAAAGGCATTTCAGACATTCAGTATTGCCATTTTAATAATATTAACAGTTACAGCCAGAAAACTAGATTCAAGTTGTACATAATGCAAGCAGTTGAATTTGCAGGCCACAAATGATGCAGGGCTACAGAATCTAAGCTGATTTAAGTAATATCTATAAGAATACTGGAATACAAACTAGTGCCAATTCTTCATCACATAAGCAAGACAATCTTATCGTTCATATTGGTCAAATATTATTTTAAGTCTAGAGGGAAAAAGCTAAGTAAATAAAACAAATATTTGTTTTATTAAATTCATTTATATGGTTGGCCATCTTGTAAATGTGGCTCTGCAGCTAATAACACAGTAAAATATATATTTAAAAAGTATAATCAAATGATTTTTAAAACTATAGTGGTCAGCAAGGGTAAATCAGGAGTAAATAGCTGACAAAGAACTCTCAATGGGCCATACAGCGTATATATTTACTGTTACCATAGTCTGGAGAGGAACAAGCTGAAGAGACAATTCCGTGATGGATTTGCTTGGATCAACAGTATCACTTTCAAGACTGCATTCATCTTTCTTTACAGCCTGAATAAAATTAAATACAGGCTTTAATTGCACTCCATCCAAGGAAAAGAACAACTTTTATTACAGCCCACCTGGAGCATGTTCCATATTCCTCAATACTATTATGGTCTGCATATTTTACTTTAATATTTCATTGGCAGACTCCAAGTAATCATAAAAGATCAATAGAATACTGACAATTAGCCTTTTTTGTTGAAGTAAATAAAATAATTTTGCATGCCATTGAAAAATGTATAAGAATATCCATCAGGCTGGTATGCCATGTTCCACAGGATGAATTTAAAATCCCTTGTTGAAAAACACTTCGTATTGTTGCAATCTCAGACATGTTTAACTAAAAATACTTCTTTTCAAAAAAGGGCCCTGTCAAATCCCAAGCGTCTTGTTAATATGGAACTCAAAAGCACAGGTACTGAGACTGTAGAAATAGCTTCACCAGACACGGAAGATATTTCCAAGTAAAATATACATACCTCCCATTGTTATTACGTAAACAAAGACTGATTTTGCAATAGAAAGCCACAATTTTAAAACACATTTCATTACAAGTCATTTCCAACTGCAAACCTAATTCAGACAGATGATTTGAAAAGGAAACATCTGTTTTAAAGTACATTATATTATATTCATATCAGATGAAGATATACTGATATTTTAAATCTGTGAAAATGACATCTTTACAAATGTAGATGCATCTTCCAAATATCTACAATTATTTAAAATAATAGTAATAAAATATACTCACCATATTATTTTTGGCAGAAAACTCACAGGATGTATTTACAACAGATTCTGAAATATATCTTGTATTTGTTGAGGCTGGCAAAGAATTGTTGATAAGAGGATTTTCGCTTTCAGATGTCACCTCATCATTGTTCCTTTCAGGCTACAATACAAAAATATTGTTTGCACTATGTGTTTAAATGTATTACCTCTAGATTTTATTTTTGCTTTTAACTTTATTTATTTTCTACAATTTATCCAAACAATACTCTAAGCAGATTGCAAAATAATTTACAGGTTATAGTAAAAATAAAATTAAAATATGACAACATTACTATCCATAAGCACATGTATAGTGCTGTCAATATAGGTAGTCCTCAACTTATGACCAGTCACATAACAACCATGGTATTTGCTTAATAACATTTACTTAACAGCTGCTGCAAAAAATGTTGAAAAATTGTGTCGGGTCATTCTGATGTCTCAAATTACGACCATGACTTATGACCATAAACCTGAACTCAAGTAGGTCATAAGTCAAGGACTATCTGTAAATCACCTACTGAAAGAATCAAAACCACCCACTATTTTGCCAGCCTCCAAAGGTATTTTGAAATAGCCAAATTTTAATGGCTTTTATGAATGCCAGTAGGATTGGTGGGTGAAGGTCCTTTTCCCTTGCAGAGGTCAGAAGCATCAGTCAGCTCTACCGTATCAATGATTTGACCATAACAATGTTATGGATCACTACTCTTGAAGTATTTGCTGGTACAAGCCAGAATCCATCGTTCCCTCAATGACTGTGAGTTATCTGGATCTTGAGACTGCAAAGCAAACCCAAACTACAATAATCTCACCACAACATTTTATCTCATTTTAGCCAAACATTATTACTTGTTGACATACATAAATATTAGAACATTCCATTTTCATATTCTATTTACAGAATATTGTTCCAAGAGTCTCCTAGACCATGCAGGACATCTATAGCAATGAAGATTTTGAAGCAATCTGTTTTTTTCCTTGGAATCCTTCCATACACAACACTCTTGTTCACAGTCTTCATTATGGTGAACTCGTGACATTAAACAGTACAAGAGTGCCCTCCTAACTTTTACTGGTATTCTAAGGTTTTTTGTGAGTCTTGTCCACAAATATTATACAATTGTGATACAATATTTGTGATTTTTTTTTTGTTGGTGAACTACTCTTAGACAGAGCAACAGTGGGATTACATTTGCTCCATTTGAACACCATCTGACATGGCAATAATTTTGTATCCCTTTCAGACTCATGAACATACATAACAATATAAATATGCTGTTTAAGATACACAGACATCTCTTTTGATAGGGTCATGGTTCACTTCCATTATCCTGTGTTGTAAAAGAGCAGATTCCAATGGTGGTGGCCAACATGTATTTTTTTTTTAATATGAGGGACCATTCAACTCATACCTGTCATCTTATTGATTAGAAGATATAACTTAAGTTACTCCTTTAAGAATGCTAATTAACCTAGAATTTCACAAACTCTGAAGCATAACAAAGGCAGTGAAAATTGGCTTGATACATTCAATAAAAATGTGATGCAGTATAAAAGACCACGCTAGAATGTTACCAAAGTTGCACTTTAAAAGATATTTATATATGAATGTGTCTCAATCCCTTACTAAGAGCTCTTTTTTACTGTGATCTCTATTCTTCAATGGAAAACATTAGTACTCAATTTCAAAAGTGATATGCTATCAGAGTGGTATGCTCCTCTTTGAGAAGGTTGCCTAAATCTGCTTGGTAAAATTAACCATTAACCTGGGGGATGGAGATGATAATATAAATAATTTGAAAATTGGGAGGGGGAGCAAGGAAAAGAAAGGACAGCCATAGCCACTGCAAACATGCAGCACCAACATGTTTCTGGATACATTTCTGTTATAAACGTTTATTCTGGCCTGAAATTATTTTAGCTACTTTTTTTTGTACCTTCAAGTCAGTGGTGAAATTCAATTTTTTTTTTACTACCAGTTCTGTGGGCGTGGATTGGTGGGAATGGTGTTGCTTGGTGGGCGTGGCTTGGTGGGCGTAGCAGGGGAAGGATACTGCGAAATCTTCATTCCCACCCTGCTCCAGGGGAAGGATACTGCAAAATCCCCATTCTCTCCCCACTCCTGGGGGGAAGGATATTGCAAAATCTCCATTCCCACCCCACTCAGGGGCCAGCCAGAGGTGGCATTTGCCGATTCTTCGAACTACTGAAAATTTCTGCTACCGGTTCTCCAGAACCTGTCAGAACCTGCTGGATTTCACCCCTGCTTCAAGTTAATTTTGACCCTTGCAACTGCCTGGTCAAGTCCCTGAAGGTATTTTTAGCAAGAATTTCAGAAATGGTTTGCCATTGCTGTGAGAAAGAATTGACTAGCCTAATGCCTTAACCATTGTAACAAATTGGATATACTTACTTACTGTTATGTTTGGATTAAAGTAAATCCACTATGTTAAAATACATAATAATTTCTGTAAACAAATGTTTCATGGCATTATTTCCAATTCTTAATTATTATAATAAAGCATAAAAAACTTCTGAAGGGATAAATGTGGATTAAAGCAATATATTAAGGACTAAATTTACAATTGTTGCAATGTAACCTCATTCTGAATGCAGTTACAATCTAAGTTATAAAATGATCATATGGAGTGGAAGAAATCTATCATGTCATAAAAGTCAGTCAATCCTTCCTACCATAACCATTTTACCTCCTTTTGCTGAATTGGAGGCTCCTGAATTTTTTCCAGTAATGGTAATACACTGGATTTGTATGTTATCCACCAAAGTTCTAGGAATGGCAGTTGATTTTCAGATACAGAAGCTGAATCATTTGGTGTAACTGTTCTTGTCTGGGGGTTGTACTTGTAGTTCCAGGGTTTTGCTGGTCCCAAAAAATGAATCACCTTTGTATCTTTACCAAAACTGTGGGGGGAAAAATAAAACAATATTGCTTCAGTTCAATGGTTGACATTGAAGACTACCACCTCAATAACTATAGACTTATATACCACCCCATAGTGCTTTACAGCATTCTCAGAGTGACTTTACAGTGTCAGCATATTGTTCCCAACAATCTGGGTCCTCATTTTATCGACCTCGGAAGGATGGTAGGCTGAGTCAACCTCAACCCCATCAGGATCAAACTATAGAGAAGAGTTAGCTAGCAATACTGCATTCTAACCACTGCATGATCATGGCTCCTAGAATAGTATAGAGCAGGAGTCCCCAACTCCTGGTCCCTGGACTGGCACCGGGCTGCAGCATGCCAGAAATCAGGTCACACAAAAAAACAAGGTCCATCCAGCGGATGCTGGCAGCACATAAAACCATGCCCCCTCCAGTTCATTCCAGCTCATAGTAACATGAAGGGACGGGCAGTGTGATACAGTGTGAGTGCAGGCGAAGAAGGAGTGGTGTAACTTTATTGAACATGGCCGGGCAGAGAAGAGGGTGGTGTAGCACCACATGGGTGCAACCAGGTGGGGGAGGTAAGAGCCATGAGAATGTGGGAGCGGCTGCTGAGGTACTGTCTGAATGCAGCTGGGAGAGGCGGGAGTGATGCGGTGCCACTCCAGAACAGCCAGACAGGGAGGTGTATCCAATGGAGTACAGATTAGAAGTGCTGCAAGTGGGTGCTATAGAATACAAGATCCCTGAGATCTCATACTCCATAGGCTCCTTGGGAAAAGAAGTGGTAGGAGCAATTTACGAGAGCAACTTGTGACCTTTCCTGCTGGCTTTCCCATTGAGTTTGCTTGTAGGAAGCTGGCAGAGGAAGTCACAAATGATAACCACATGACTGTAGGATGCTGCAACTCTCAAGTGCAAGCTGGTTGCCAAGTGCCTGAATTGTAATTACATAGCCGTAGGGACACTGCAACAGTTGGAACTTCGAGGACCAGTCATGTGCATTCATTCAGTGCCATCGCAATTTAATGAAAGTTACTGAACAAGTTATTAACCCAAGGACTAATTGTACAGTACAAGTTTTTCAACTCTACAATTACCTGGCAGCAAAATACAATTTCATTAATACCATTTCTGCCAACTTTTCAGATAAAAAATATTCCGATGGCTTACAATTAAAATTCAATACACGCTGTGATACATAAATGAAAATATGTTAAATTTTGCCTTTTGATTAAAAAACTAAAACCAAAATCAAGATATACAAAATAACGAAATAAAAGACAGAGGGATAAAATCGCTTTGCCAATGCCAGTTCGAAATGACAAAACACTGAAGATATATTTATAATGGACTTTGGTTTCCCTTTGCTAGAGTTCTTTCTGAGATAAACACTGTAATTTTCAAGCATTCTTTGATTCTATGGAAGATTGCAAGAGATAATAGCTAGCCTTTCATTTACTTTTGTAGTGTCAAGGGAACAATGTTTTCTTGGTATGAGAAAAGCAAGCTCCTTCTAACTATCCATTTTTCAGGCCCAAAACTGAAACCTGGTTTATTTCTTCCCACCATGGTATTGCTCCTTAGAAGCTTCCACTAATTAATAAACACAGAGGCCCTGTTCCTGCTAAAAGGGAGATGTTAATTTCTTGGAATTGTTCATTAGAAATTGGAGACTGAACCAGCTTATGCTGGGAAGGCAACAGCTGTGAGTAGGTGGGCATGATAAAACAGTTTTAAGCTAGTGCAAATTGTTCAATACGATTAATTCATAATGATAGGAAAGACTACTCAAGCCATTTTATCATCTAAAGTAATTGTGACAGTACATATTTCCCAACATTTCACTCATTACATGGTAAGCTCTAGAGCAGGGGTCCTCAAACTTTTTAAACAGGGGGCCAATTCATGTCCCTCAGACTGTTGGTGGGGCCAGACCGGCTAGGTGGGTGTGGCTAGGTGGTCACGTGACTGGGTGGGGTGGCCAATTTAGTAGTCCAAACAATACACACAAATTAAATTTTAATTTGTTACTTAAGGGATGTGGCTGCCTTGGGGTTGTGTGAGGGACTTCTGTGTGTGTGTGTGTGTGTGTGTGTGTGTGTGTGTGTGTGTGTGTGTGTCCCTCTCCCTCCTCTCTCTCTCAAGGCTGGAGAGATGAAAAATGCCCAAGGCCTCTCTGCGTGTCCCATTTTTGGCCTCCCCAGCCTCTGATACCACTCTGCCACCCAAAAACAGGCCTGTTTTTGGCCTCCCAAGGCCTCCAGAAAGTGGGTGGAGGCCGGCAGGTATGCGGGGCGATGTGGGTGGAGCAGACTGGTAGTCCTGCGTGGGCCAGACTAATGGCTTCAGCGGGATATATATGGCCCACGGGCCATAGTTTGAGGACCCCTGCTCTAGAGACTCCAGAAATTCCAACATAAAGCAAGTTAAAAGTACTGGAACCCGGTTAAGAGTTTGGATTGTTTTAGGTGAACAAACATGGATTGCCTTAGTTGTTGTTATTCTGTGTATACTATTGCCTGATATGTAATTAGATGTTTAAAATTTTGCATTTGTGGTGGAAATATTACTGATTCTGGATTGCAAAGGCATAATTATCATACTAATGACTCTGAGCTTTGGAATCTGTCTAACTGAATCTTATAGTCAAATTAATATTTACCAGTAATTACAAAGAATATTATTTGCTAATTATTAAGGCCAGGAAGGATAGAAACAAATAATATTGCAGTTTATCCTGCTTTTGGCTTTCCCATAGTTGTCTGGTTGATCATGGTGGGAGTTTGAAGTTGTTCTACAGCTCTGTCATCAAATTCTTCTGTTCTTCCTATATTACCAATGGATTACTATCATCTAAATGTATATATTGATAGTATGAAAGAAGAAATGTTTTCAATGGAACTAATTATATTCTAAGAGGGGTATATATCTGAAATTGCATGTAACTGATATAAAACAGAAGAACTGCACTTATCAATTACCATATCATATGTATATTAGGGCTCCACTCCTAGCTACAAGAAAAATGAAATCTGTGAAAACATGAACTGTTTATCACTGAATTATCAATAAAAAACATTTTAGTACTTACTGCTGGAAAGCAGGGGCATATGTATAGACAGTGCTGCTGCTTAGATTATAGATAAATGGCAAGTGTTTATTTATATCTTTGGTTGCCCAGCTGCTGAAAAAACTGTTTAACAATCCCTGATCACCTCCTACAGAATAAAAAGAGCATTACAAAGGTTCAAACTCTTATTAATGTGAACAACAGCCTTCCCAACCTAGCATTATACACAGGTGTCACATTACAACACCCATAATGTTCCAGAATTGCAATTGCAGAGTTGCAATTGCAACACAAATGATGGCAATTGGTTTAGAAAAAAATAAAGTATGGTATCAAAGCTTTGTCTTTAAGCCCAGATGAACTATGCTGTTGTACAACAATTATTCTAAATCTCTCTCCATCAATTAGCAGCAGTCAAAACAGGAATATGTTTAAAAGGCTCCTTATGATGATACCTGAACATAAGAAACATGCCATTATATATAAAAATGGAGAACCTCTATATACAATGGTTAATTTTAGCAACAACTATTATTTTGCTTTTAGTTGCTATTGCCAGCTGGTGTAAGGACCTGCCCCAGCTGATCCCTCAGGAAAGCAAAATTCTTGACTCCATTGAGTTGAATCAAAAGAACTTTTACTGAGAGAAAGCGGTTGCAGTAAAGTCAGGTGGAATCTGAAGGTCCCGTGCAAAGCACAAAGCAATTCTTCCCGAATTGCTTCCCAAAACCCAATTCCCCTGACCAGTCCACTGGCAGCCAATGTGATGCCGCAAGGATGTTTTGAGAACACTGAAGTGCTTGGCAGATAACTGGTCACTCTCAGGGCACGACAGCCTTGGACCCAGGCTGGACCCAGCTGGGAGGGAGTCTGCTCCATGTCTGAAGACAATCCCCCTCCCTAATTCCCAAGCAGTTACAGCAAAAGCAAAAGCCTGCGAAAAATGCCAGCAAGCCTTCCTTTCCCTCCCCCTAACAGAATGGCAGATACAATGGTGGACCTGATAGCTGGATCTAGATATAAATATTTTGATGAACATTCATCAAAAGTTCAGATCTTTAAAAGAACTTTGTCAATAGTTTCACTCCAGAGCCAAGGAGAGGACCAAGTCCACAGACTTACCATCAAAACTACCGTGTTCACTGGCAAACTGGAGAAGATGTTTGAAGGTTTTCAAAGAAGGTTGGAAAACAAAGACACCACTGTTAAAGCAGTCTGGCCAACCAGAATCTGGAGCTGCTGATAATTCTTCCCGCTCAAAGAGTTCATCAACATTACAAAGCACCTGGAAAGATCATTAAAATTTGAATCAGTCGATTCTTCTGCTACTGATATGAGATTTTTTTAAATTGAACTCACTCATTATTCTACCTTTTACTATTAGCAAATTTATTTTGGCTCTGCAGCATAAATGAAGAGACACTAAGATGTGGGAATGTCTTCATAACTAAACATCTTTTAACCTAGTAACTATATTCTATCAAGGTTTAAAAATCAAATATTCTGTAGCCTTGCATGTTTTTGTAGTTGCACTGTAATTCTAATGAGTTACAATGACTGTAAGTTAGGTGTTCTAGCCAAGGCACAGGGCTACAAACAGGGAGACAATGAGTTCTAAATCCGCTTTAGGTAGGTACCAGCTTGGGCCAGTAGCACTCTTCCAGCCCTAGAAAGTAAGCAATGGCAAACCACTTCTGAAATTTTATGAAGAAAACTGTAAGGACTAGCCCAGGCAGTTGCCAGGAGTCAACATTGACTCAAAGGTCAAAAACAAAAAAACGAACTCTATTATCTGTGTAGGCTATCACTTATCTTGGGCAAAAATTAGATACTTGTTCCTCAAGTACACAGGTATTGTTCATACATCTATGTACCCCTATTTATACACTTACATAAATATATTTTTTCTGAGTCTAAATCTCGAGTGCAGATTCCATAACAAACAAGAAGAAGATTCCTGCAAGTGAACATTCTCTTTTTTTACAATTGATTCTTATGGCAAATATTTCCAAGCTTGACATTTCTGGCACTGCTGCCCTTACCAATGTGTCTGCATCCATGAAGACACATTTGCTATACTGAGTAAGAGTCCAGCAATGCAGTTTGGTAAAGGTTACACCCAGTTCTAGCCTCTTCAGGAGAGTCAAGTGCACCAAATCATTGCTGTCAATTTCTTTAACATCAACCACGGAATCAAAGATGGTCCTGAGGGCAGCCCTGTCAAAGCAATAAAACCATTAATCTTACAATCTCTCTTTTTACAAGATATGCAGTGCAGTAGACAATTAAAAGAACTGAATTGTAAAATAGCTTAAACTTTAATTATTAAGTCATAACTACACAAGGTAAGCAAATGTTTATCTGTGTGCATATATACGAATGATAGACAAATAATGGGATATAATGGAAATAAGAAGCAAAAATATCTGCATATATACACATATACACATACAGACACTTCCTAAGAGCCATTTGATAGGATTGGTGATAACAAAAGACCAAGAACCACAGGTTGGGAAACTTGTAAAATCGGACTGCAGGACACATTTAAATTTTAAATACATAGATTAAATATAGTGCAGTTAAGAGGTAAGACTTGATCAGTATTAGCTTTAATTCAAGCATATTAGTGAAATGATTTCAAGTTGAAAGATATTTGGATAGTAATTATTCTATAAAGAAAGGGTGCTTTATTTTTTTAAAAAAGATCTAATTAGTACTATAAACCAATTGCTTCTAACCAAATATTACCTAGACCACTATTTAGTTTCTAAAAGCAGAGAACCAGACAGATCCATGCCTCAAAGAGTCTTGCTTTGCTATTTATCAATATTTGTTTTCAGAAACAGAAACCCTGTTCAAGCACCCATTGGAATATATGGAGAATAAAAACTTGGCAGAGAAATGAGTGTGTGCAAACAGCCCTGCCTCTGCCTCTCCCCTACTCCACTGACTGGTCACTGGACTTTTAAAGTTCCTGACCTTTGGCTGCTAGGTCAGCCTGTAACTAAGCTCCCTTTATGATATCTATCGATTGATTGATCGATCAATCAATCGATCGATTTACCTATCCACACACAAACACACACACAGTCATGGTAACAGTTCCAGAAGACCACAGCTATAGGGAGGTTTGATCTATTTGATGAGTCCACTATAGATGCCTGATGGACGGGTTTCACAGGGAACTTGAGGTCTTTTCTGAAGATCTGGTATTCATTTCAGCTGAAGCCTTAGTTGCCACTTGGAATGAGAGGGAAGCAGCAGCTTTATGGCCAATCTTTGTGCATTGAGCTCAGAATCCCCCCTGGTTTATAGAGGAATTCCAGATACAGTAGAAGTAACACCTGGAACAGTAGAAGCACCTGGAGTAACACTGGATGAGGAGCATCTAACCAAACATGGACACAAGCCTCTGTTAAGGATTACCTTGTGAAAATAAGGGCACAAAACATTATTTTTTCATCCTTACTGAATTCATCCAGCAGTCCTGCAAAAGAATCAAGGAAAAAATGTACTTGCAGGGCTGCTGTGAAGAGCATCAATTGCATAAAATTGCTCAGATAAACCCCAAGCTGAACTCCAGCTTTTTGTCAGGATTCAAAGAACTGACTGTGATGGGATCTGGCTGTGTTATCTGGAATGAGCTTGAACCTGTTGGTATTGAGCTTGAGCCTGTTGAGGCCCCGTTGATCCCTAAAGCAGATAGATATGGCTTCCCAGGGGATATGTGGCTAGGTCCAGGAAGTAAATTCATTCTACAAACAGAGGGTACTTTTTGTAGATGTACATGCTTAAAGAGGCAGTGGTCTACCCTCTCCTCAAGAAACCTTCTCTGGACCCTACCATACTGGACAATTTTCATCCAATCTGATGCTTATGCTACAGCTTCAGAGAATCCTGGAAGAAATGGATTATATGGACCTTTCAGTCGGGTTCAGAGCTGGGTATAAGACCTAAATGGCATTGATTGCACTTGTGGATGATCTGGATATGAGATGGAAGGGTCATATTCACACTGGTTCTCCTTAATCTCAGTGGCATTTGACACCAAAAACCATGGTATCATTCCAGACCAGCTCAGATGGTTGGGAATAGAAGGCAGGGTGATGCAGTGGTTAAGTGGATAAGAGAATGAAATTGGGAAATGTGTCCTTACCTCATTTCCCTAGAGACTTGCGGTGTAATTAGTATTGCCAGTCTTCTAGATGTTTTATGATTTCTCAAGGATTGTCCAAGAACCAGAGCTCCATGGCAATAAACATCATTAGTGGCAAGAGTCACAAAAGCCTGGTCTGTTACTGGGGAAAAAAGCATTTTCATGTAATTCAGAGTTGGTTCTACCCTTGGCACATTTCTTATTTTATCCCACTATGCAGGACAGTTGCAAATTTAGCAAAAGCCCACAGTAGTTTTCTTCTACTGCTGTTATGGTTCGCCAACAGCCTGCGGAGCTGGCAGCAGAGTCGGAGAGTGAGGAGGCTGGGGAGGAACATGGGCCAGTCCTGGAGTCTGGGGAAGGCTCAGACAAAGGCTCTGCGTCGGAGGCAGAGATGGGGCCAGGGCCATCTGGGAGTTATGTGAGGACTCCAGAGCCTCCAGAGTCGGACATCAGAGAGGCAGAGGAACAGGGGAAGCCTGTTCCTAGTGCTCGCGTGGGCAGACCTGCCAGAAGGCAAGAACAGTTAAAACAAAAGGGATGACTCGGGAGTAAGGCTTGGAGATGATTGGCCCCTCCCATAAGACATAAAGGAAGAGCAAAGGCACATGGGCCTTTGCAGGAAGCAACGTTGTGGATGGTGTCAGTTTGTACTTTGAAACTCCATTTTTGACTCTGTGTTTCCATGTGGCCTTGCCAAGATAATTGCCAATTAGATTTTTGGCAGCGAGTCAAAGAAGATAAAGGTGGGTGTTTACCAGCCTTATCCGAAGGACTGTGGCAGACTTCCGTTGGACTATTTATAAACTCTTGGTGATTCAGCACTTGCTGTGAATGAAAGGAATTCACAGCCATTAAAATAAAAAAAGGGGGGGTTTTGGGACTAATTGTGTGCTTTTTACTATATCAGGAAGCCTAGGTCAGAAAAACTACTGTTAGTGTTGTATATTGTGCCACATTTGTTTTTCCATAAATAAAAATATGGAGAGGGGCAACGTTTACTTTATTTAGGTATTATACAGGTATAAATATCCTATAAAAATGCTAACGTAAGCCTTTATCTTATGTCTCCCTACTAAATGTAATGTATAACACATGATGCAATCAGTATTTTGGTTGCTATTAGTCAGAGACTAACAGACCTCACAGATCCCATATTTCAAAATGGTCCAATCAGGAGAAATATTTTTTTTTCTGAGAAATGAAAGAATTTGACATTGCATATCTTATTCTGAGTCACCACTCAGAATGCTAGGAAAAAAATGTTGAAATCTTGAAATTTTACTCATCCTCAACCCAACTCAAGGCCCGCTGGACGGATTCGGCCTGCAGGGTGGTTAGATCTGGCCCATGGGACCGCCCTGGAAACTGTGGAGGACCAGCCCGCAGTACTTTTGCCAGTGAAAATGGAGCTCGGGAGGGCCGTGTGTGTTTTCAACGGCAGAGGGTTGCAGGAGGCCATTGCAGCCAAAAATGGAGCTTGGGAGTCCATTTTTGCTGGCAGAGCGCTCAGGCTACCACAGGCACCCCCAACACGAGTGACACTGAACTGGCCACACCCACCCTGGCAACGCCCATCTCAACCCCCCAAGGTCAAACACAACCCTGATGTGGCCCTCAATGAAATCGAGTTTGACACCCCTCTTCTATACAATATTGGACCATCACCATGATTTTAAATGAAATGAAATGAGCAGAGCATAAAACTGACAATCTGGACTGAGTTAAATACAAGATATTCTCTCTCTCAACTTACGACCACAATTGAGCCCAAAATTTCTGTTGCTAGGTGAGACATTTGTTAAGTCTTGCCTCATTGTATGACCTTTTTGCCACAGTTGTTAAGTGAATCAGTACAGTTATTAAGTAAGTAACACAGTTGTCATTGACTTGCTTATCAGAAGCTCCAAAAAGGGGATTACGTGATCCCAGGATGCTGTGACCGTCATAAGTATGAATCAGTTGCCAAGTGTCTGAATTCTGATCACATGACTAAGGTAATACTGCAAGGGTCATGTGAAAAATGTCATAAGTCACTATTTTCAGTGCCGTTGCAACTTTGAATGGTGACTAAATGAAATGTTGTAAGTCGAGGACTACCTGTACTCAGTTGGAATTCTCAAACATTCTGATATTCTGGCACATCTTAATTTGAGAGATTTTGCTGCACAGTAGGTCATTTATTTTTAATTTTTGTTAACAAATGCATTTTAAGCTTCTTAAAAGAAACACAAAATAAATGCTCACAAAAATAAACAATCATCTTAATTTGTCTACATTTAGATGCCTTATTGCTGCACATTTTAATAGCATGCATATATCATTTGCACTATAAAGTTGGTTTCAGAATCTTATTATTGAGATTTAATCCCTTTTTATATTTCTGTAACATTAATCACTTTGAAATTCTTGGAATGAAAAAGCAAGATGTATACTGAGTAAACAAATATACTAATATATTAATTTTATAACAGAGTTTCTCTATGTTGGCATAAGAGGTGTCTCTTTCCTTATTAATGTAAAAATTGGCCTATTTTTAAAAAATGCAAATAAAACCATTATTATTTCATTCTTCAGCCTTATCCTTTAAAATGAATGCTTAATTATTTAATATTGAGCCAAAGCAAAGCATATAATTTCCCTGCAGCATTTGCAAAAAAAAATTAACTACTGTAAATAGATGTTTACTTCTGAAAACAGATGTGTTGCTCATCAAACAATATTTAGTATGTACATAAGACAAATTCATTACTGACAATTTTTGATTTTGCTCATTCCAGGCTATAGTTAGGCTACTAATGATTAGCATAAAATAAGAAAGAATATAACATTTATCTCAAAATGGATAAAAGATAAATCTAACTAGGTTTGCCATTTCTGTTGGGGAAAATGAGCAAGCTAATATAAGCAAATTATGGGTTTTTTTACATAAAATAAGTTTGGAGTATTTTTTGATACAAAAACAAAATTAATATTTCTACTCATGTGTACTCAGAACTAAACTCTTAATTAAATGTGCTCTCCCTTACTAGAAACTATTCTAATGCACATTAAAAAAAACCAATTACTCTTCAAATATTCAAATACCTTTCACATATTTGAGACCAATCCCATAACAGCAACATCTCTAATTTTACTTGTGTTGCGGGTATTTAGTAACAAAATACATACACAATGTTTTCTTTACTTTTTGATCATAAGTAAAATATTGCAGAAATGTTGAAGGTGCACCTCTAAGGTAATAAAACCCCCAGAGAGAAAACTATCAGAGAACAAAGAACAAGAGGAGAGAGTGAGGGCGGGAATCCACTTACCAGGCATTTTTTTTTAACTGCTAGCAGAGTAATGTTCAACTTAATTCCTTAATGCCACAACTCCTTCCTAATTCTCAGCAGGTTCTCCTCAGACCAAAAATGCCAGTTGAGATTATCTTTTTTATTTCCTATTGAAGACAAGTGAATTAACATTCAGATATTCCGCAGAGGACTTTAACCACATAAACTGCCCTTAAAAGAACAGAAGAAGAAAAGAAAGGTTTTCTTTTCAAATTACCTTGTGTTTTAAGTTTAAATCTCTCCTTCCCCGCACCCCCCCTGCCCCACTTTCTTTTTCAGAGATTTCTTAAGCAAAGTTTAAGACCACTCTAACACATACACATGCTTCCATTCCTTTTTGCTAGCAAAAGGAGGGTCTAACAAGTAGTTTCATGTTCCTTTTTTCAAATTCCCTAGCAAAATATTAACTATTTAATAGCCATCAGTATTCACTATTTATTTACGCTACTAGATGGGAGGTACTCCATGAAAAGCAAAGGACACTATTAATAAAGTTAAAGTAAGTATAGAATAGCAGGACAAGACATTTATTTGAACATCTGGTGACACAGGCATTAGTTCTTCAAAGATGATGCCATAATAAAAGCATAATTCTAAACATATTACATTTCAGCTACTGTGTAAGGCATAGGGCACATAGAATTGTAGGACACAGAATCAGATACATTTTTGCACTGAGTATTCAAATTGAATATTTTTTTTAGAAAGCTTTAGCACGGCGGCTTAGAGATGCTCAAAATCGTTTGCCATCTTGAGTTTGCCATTAAACGTTTTTTTAAAAAAAAAGTTTTCTGCAACAGACAGACACAAGTCGCTCTCCCTCCGGAATTGATTAGCAAAGGTTAACTTGGAAGTTGGAAAAAAAGAGGGAGGGACAGAGGGAAAGTACCGTTAGTTAGCAAAGCGTGGCTCTCTCCTAGGAGCCCAACGCGTTGTCTTCCTTGCAGAGGGAGAGCCTCCTCTGCCAACCTGAATCAAGCCTTCCTCCTTCTCCCCCCTTGTCCTGCCGCAGCACAATTCCTCCTCCCGCCCCTCGTGCAGGAACCAGCTAGACGTTTAAAGCCCTTCCATCTCCCTCTCGGTTCCAGTCCAGGGGCAACACCAACCGCGCACACCTTTTACGAGGGAAGCCGAGCTTCGAAGGCGACGCCGGGCTCCTGCGCCCCCTTCAAATCCTCTAGCCGCCCTTGGGACTCCATACGCACTTCAGGCAACGAGCTCAGCTGCTATTCAGTCGCCGGTGTGGCCAGCCGAAGAGCAAGGGGGGCAACCTTCCCTGCGCCAGCCCGGGAGCAAGCGAGCGAGGCTGCCCCCTCATTGGCCAGGTCGGCGGCTCCTCCTCCGGCGGCGCGGCACAGATACTCTCCTGTGTCAATCAACAACAACAAAAAAAGGGGGGGGTTGACGCGCCGCGCCGGAATCTTGCAGTAAGGAGGAAGGCTTCTCTCAGTGGAAGTACAAAGCAACTGGAATCTCAAAAGTGTTGTTTTTTTTAAAGGCAACTGGACTGTTTTATCCTTGAGGAAGAAGAACAAAAACATAGGAGATGTCCTTCCTTGCCCTCAGGGTGCAATTGGTTGTGGGGTCTTCTAGGCACCTGACTAGGTGGCGCAGTGGCTAAGACACTGAGCTTGTCAATCAGAAAGATCGGTGGTTCGAATCCCTAGTACAAATGTCCTGCGTGAGCAGGGGTTGGACTAGATGACCTCCAAAGTCCCTTCCAACTCTGTTACTGTTATTGCTGCAAGAGCTGCGTTGTAGACTGCAGCTAGGTGCTGTCTTCCCCACCCCCCACCTCTGTTGAGAGAGGATTGCTTGGTGTCTTTTACACCTCTTTCAAACCAACAATCTGATCCTCTCTAGCCAAAATTTGGACTTTGCTGTCTTCAAAAGAGTGACCTTTGTCTGTCAAATGCAGATGGACAACTGAGTCTTGTCCTGATGGGTTTGGTCACCTATGTTGTGTGTCCCCCGCCCAATCATAACTGATGAAGTTTCTTGGATGAGAAATGAAATTTTAGTTCTTCCTCCAGGATAAAACAGTCCAGTTTTCATTTGAAAAAGCACTTTGGAGACAACTATAGCAATAGTAATAACACTTAGACTTATAAACCGTGTCACAGTGCTTTACTGCCTTCCCTAAGCGGTTTACAGAGTCAGCATATTGTGCCCAATAATCTGGGTCCTCATTTCACTGATTTTAGAAGGATGGAAGGCTGAGTCAACCTTGAGCCTGGTGAGATTTGAATGGTCAAATTGCAGGCAGTTGACAGTCAGCAGAAGTAGCCTGTAGTACTGCATTCTATCCACTGCATCCAACTATGACCTGGATGACTGAGAATCTCCACAAACAAAGCAACTGGAATTTCTCTCTAGCCATCCAGGATCAAAGCCTATTTTCAGAGATCAATTCTTGATTAGTTATAGTTTTGTCCCTGCTTTGTCCCTAGCACACTTTTTCTGAAGAATTTCATTTTCCCCAGCCTCAAGTCATCTGGGTGTATTAATTTTTATCTTTTCAAAAATGAGGATGAGAGAGAGTTAATAGACTAAACTGCAAGACTTGAAATGGGCCTTTGTTCACTACTTCTACTATAGGCCGTTAAAATGAAACATGCATCATATATAGCCTTCCCTAGTTTGCAACTGATTTGCAATGCTCCAGCAGCCTATTTTCTGGTGTGTCCTTATGTTCTGATTTGATCACCAGCCCATATCACAAGAGGCCTTAAATTATTCTTAATTCTGCACCAGTTCTGCATCATATTGAATGCAAAACTGTTAGCTTTTAAGAGTGAATTTTTTTAAAAAAAATTCACTCTTAAAAGCTAACAGTTTTGCATTCAATATGATGCACTTCAACCATTCTGAGGTGCCTGGAGCCATTTTGGTATTTTCAGGCTAATGTGGTTGCCTTTGCCTTCAGTTCCTGGGCATTGAACTTTCAAGGCTAGTTTGCTTTGGGCAGCAGGAGAATCCAGTTCTTTTAGGCGCTGATTCTGTGCTGATTCTGAACTCTGCATCACCTGACTAGCATTTGGAAACCAGTGTTTCCTCAGACTGATGTGAAGCAAAAATGGTGGTCTTTCTGTTGCCTCATGGCTAAGTCCTTCCTACATCCATTAGCTGCCCATAGTCTTCTTTGGGACAAAGGTTAGCTCTTTTCAGAATAAATTAGAGGTGTACAAACTTAGCACCTTTAAGACTTGTGGGCTTTAATTCCAGAATTCTAGGAGGAATTCTAGGAGCTGAAGTCCACAGATCTTAATATTGCCAAGATTGGACACCCCTACATTAAATGCATGTTGGCCTCTGTTGAAAGAAAAATCAGTTCCAAGTTGGGTATAAAATGGAGGGTTCCATTTCCCAGTTCCAAGCTGGGAATAAAATGGAGGGTGCTTAAGAAAGAAAGTTTATTGATGAGCAGAAACAACAACAGCATGCAGTTCTGGGACAGCTGACAAATTAGTTTGATGAGTGCAAGGATATTTATACAGTTTACAGTATTTTTGAAATTTGCTTTAGGTGCTTTTATTATATGATTGATTTTATTTGTTTCACAAAGTGGTGGGTCTTAATTATCGGCTTCCTTGGTCGTAATCCTGTCAGGCATGTGTAATTGATTTTATCCTGTTATCTATTGCCTCTAGCCTGCCTTTCTTAATGGACCGGTATTGTTTCCACTTTTCTCAATGAATGGTGTTACTTAAGTTCACGATTGCAACATTGTTTCTCTTTCTATTAGGGGAAGAGCAGAAGAGAAAAAAAAGGAGATAGTATTCTTTTAGTTTTAGCAGCTTTTGTGTTTCTTTTTTTTTTGGCTTCTCTGTTTCTTAAGGTTTTGGGGTGTTCAGAAGGAGGCTGTTTTGGGGGGGCTATGTTTTCTTCCTACAAATTCCCTCTTTGTGCCAAAAAGGAACGTCGGTAACACATTCTTTTATTGGCACAAGATTAAGGGTTGATTTGATATTTTTTGTCAATTTGACATAGTTAGGAAGACCTGATGAGTGCTTTCACAGGGATACCAGGATGCAGGGAGACAAGTTCTTAGATTGTTAATTCAAAGGGGAAGGCATTGATAGAGGCAGCAGAAAAGGATTCCTTCAGTGGCTCCCAAAAGGAGAACTTTCAACTCATGAAGGTCTAGCAGCCAGGGAGAAAGTTTTGTTAAGTAGAAAAGAAATTTATAGTATCCTATATTCTGTGCCAATTCTTTTAGATGTTGGATGTCACTTTCTGTGAGCTTTCAGTCAGATTGAAGCAAGCATGTGTCCCAAAATCCTTCGCAGCCATGAATTAATGGCTCCCGTTTCCAAGGGTTGCTTCCTGAACCTACCTTAGTGCATTCATGGTTTGTGAGGTCAAATTGAGATTAGCCAGTGTGCAAACCCAGACTATTAATATTTTTGAAATTGTGCATAATGAGCCCTAAGACTCCCACTAAAGAGACCACTACTGCAACATATTCTGCCTTACTGGACAGCATCATTTGTGAGTCACAATCAGGGTTTGGGGTTTGGAGATCTCTTTTCTGCTACTTCTTCAGTGAGGGCATATGGATCGTTAATCACCTGAGGAGGGTATGCCCCCCCCATGGAATTGGCAGGGAGGTATGCCTGTATAGACCTTAGCGCCACAGAGCAAGAACCAGCCTAGGGGAGCTTTACGTGGAGGTAGGTGAAGGGGATAGCTTCAGTGTGGTTCTGAATGGTGTGGGTTGCAGTTACTCCTACAGGATAGGTAGGTATAAACATCCTAGACAATTTTTCCTCCCACCAGACAGAAATCTGAGGACTTGCTGTGCCCACCACTTCCAAGTGCCATCACTCCATGAATCAACTTAACTGTCTAATTACAATGTAAATGAAGCAAAGAAAGAAAACTTTACAATGAGTTTCCGCCCTCCCCCCATAGTTTTTGCAGTTTGATCAGATGTTTAGCATGCTACACCAGGATAAGAAAGGATTTTTTAAAGCCAATACAGGTGGTTTCAATTTTCAACCAGTTAAAGCTAGGGTTAAGAAGTTGATAAAACCTTACATAAGGAGGCAAAGGCAAACTGCTTCCATGGATATGTCCATATAAGTCACTTGAAGCCAATTTTTATATATGTATAAATTTTATTAAACCTTTTAAAAAGAACATCTTTGATTCACTGCCCACACTACTTAAAAATATATGTCTATATTTTCCATTATATCTAAATAAAAAAAAAGAAAAGACAATGACTTTAAATTTATAATCCATATAGTATCTTCTTTGAGGTCTTTCCACTGGATTGGTAGAACCAACATCCATAATCGGGTAACATAGCTTACTGGTGCAACAGTTTATTCAGGATCTTCAATCATATCTGCCCCCATCAGTAGTAAATATCTTCTTATATGTATAAAAGTAAAAACAACCACCCGAGTGACATTATAATTATATTCCATATAGTAATAATTGTGGGTTTCATCAGGATTATTAATTCCCATCATCGTAGTGGGTAACAACCCGATCTTCTGCATGCCCCAGCATAATTCTCTTGCCTTGTGATTCAAGATAATATAATATGTTTATCAACACAAAAAGAAATTCCAAAATGGATAATTCAAATCCATCAATTTAAGGCTCGTTTCACGTCCCCAGATTACGGCCATGCAGAGATCTGCCACAATCCTCAGGATGATATTAACCAATACGTCGCCTCTTCTGTGTTTACGCATAATCATTCATATTTTAAAATCACTGGCTTCACTGTTGCCTGATTTAGAAATTTCTATTTTTATGCCACCTATTTCTTTTTTTCTTTTCTTTTTGTGGGTTTGGTTTCCATCCTGGTTTCCTTTCTACAAAATGTGTATCATCTGCTCGGTTTTTATTCTGCTTTGTAGATTGGTCTTGTTGGTTTTGCTTTTGTATCTCATGTTTCTTTTTTATCCCTTGTATATCCCCTAATTGATTTCCATGCTTATCCTTGCCTTGATAAGTCATCACATTAAGATTAGATGCCACTTCTCTCAAATTTATAGATAGTCCAGCTGGGGTATCCAATAAATCCAAAGGCAATTCATCTGGTACAGTCTCTGTAATTCGATATTTTACCTTTATTTCCGGCTCCTTCTGCTTATCCTGTATTATACCTGAAGATGTTAAGTTCATTTTCAACCTATTTTGATAAAATTCTTCCGCTCTTTCAACAGTATTTAGCTAATATCTTTCTCCTTGGTATCTAAATATAATACCATAATGTTATGAATTAGGTTTTTTTTTTGTTATGAAGAAGTCACAGGGGGGTATGGGTGGGGAGGGGGGGTTAGGGAGGGGAAGGGAGAGGGGGAAAAAAAGGGGGGAAAATTTGTATTTGAAAACTTTTTCAATAAAAAAAAAACCTTTTAAAAAGGAGGCTTCCGGTTTGGCTTCCATCGCCGCCAGACAGTCTTTCGGGACCGCCAGCCTTGTCGCCCGTAAGAGCCGTCTCTACAGCTGAGAGACGACTCGAAAAACTCCGTCTCCTTGAGGAGACGTGAGAGAGAGCCGGCGAGAACAGGTAGAGCCCTCTGCGAACTCCCCAGAGTTTTTTTTTTACTCTTGGGGAGGAAGCAGAATGTGGCTCCCTATCCAGCTCGCCGCTGCTCTGGGCTTCGGGGGAACTCTGCGTTTCGCAGAGCCAGGCGATGGGACCAACCCAATCAACGAAAACTAACAGATTGTCTGAATAAACAGGATGAAATCCGGATCTGGGACTCTAAATTGCAAGTATTTCTAACAACCCTATCAGTGATTTTAAAAGCGAAGAAAGAAAGTTTAAAATGGCGACTGGCTAAGGCTTGAGAAGAAAGCTGAAAGCGAAAGTCAGTCCATTTGAATAATTTAATACGTTACAAAGTATCTGAAACAATAGTGCTGGCTAGAAATGAAGAGAGAAATTCCTATTTCATGCTTCTTCCTTCTTAGAGACTTGATATTGATATTGTTTGGAGAGAAGTCTTTTTCTTTAAAAAGAGTTTGTCTGTGTGGCAGGATGGCATTAAAACTGACAAAGCCAGACAACCAAGCTGTGGGGGGGGGGCCTCCCCCATTTACAAATCACATGAACAAGTTTTGAGCTTGCAGATACAGAAGAATGGCTTTAAAGACCTAAAGGAATTTGTTTTGGACGAGATGGCAAGACATGATGAGATTGTGAACCAGAATCTTGAAAAATTCAGACAGGAAATTAAAGAGTTGGTACAACAAAAGTATGATAACCTGAAACGATATATTGTAACAGCTTTGAAAAGCTTTTCAGAAATAATTATAAAGATGGATAAAGATATCAACTTAGAAATAGAGTCTAAAATGAAGGAAGCTGATTATAAGATTCATAATCTGGATAATAAAATACAAAGAATTGAAAATGATTTGATAAATATTCAAGAAAATAGCTCAGAAGCAGAGTCTAAAATAAAGGAAGCTGATCACAAGACTTACAATGCAGATAATATAAAACAAAGGATTGAAAATGAAGTCACAATGATGCAATACAGACCCATGGAATTTGCAGTCAGAATAAGGGGAATACAGGAGAATAACAGAGATGATTTGAGAAAGATGTCTGCTGAAGTTCTGGCTGTGATTTTAAAGGTTAGTCCTGAAGAGGTATCCTGTAAGACTGATAAGGCCTACAGAGCAAATTCTTGGGTGGCAAAGCAAAGGCAGTTGCCTAGAGATGTGGTGATTTACTTTACTGATAAAGGAATAAGAAATGATATTGTGCAAAAGTCTTTTAACTCCACTCTAGAAATGAATGGAAGGAAGATTTGGATATATAAAGAGCTGCCGTCCAAGATGTTAAAAGATAGAAAGGACTTTAGATTTTTGGTGACTGAGCTAAAGAAACAAAACATCCCATTTAGGTGGGATGCTCCAGTTGGTATAATACTGAGATATCAAGGAGAAAGATATCAACTAAATACTGTTGAAAAAGCAGAAGAATTTTACTACAAGGTTTTTAAAATGGATCCAACATCTCCACGTATGCCATCAGTGTTAGGAACACAGGAGGGGGATAAAGAAAAGCAAAATGAACAAGAGATTGAAACTCAGGCTAAGCAGATGGAGATGGAGGTAATGGAAAAACAACAAGTTACAGAGGCCTTTTTGGATGAGCCGCTTTTGGATTCTCCTTTAGAAGCTATAGCTGGATCACCTATAAATATAAGAGAGGCGGCTTTGGATTTCGATTCGATGTCTTATCAAGTTACAGACCAGCATGGAATTCAATCAGCTGATATACAAGTCCTAGAAAGGCAACCAGGATGGAGATCTAAACCACAACAAGTTAAGAAAAGAAGAAGCAGGTTCTACAAAACTAAAAAATTTTAAACTAAACAAAAAAAAATTCTTTTTTTTTTACTAGCCAACAGACTAATGCCAGTTACTTAAGAGACGATTAAATATAATAAGCAGGATTTATAGAAGGCTGATACATGAAAATATAACTGAGGCAAATTACTGACTTATACTATTTTGAGAAGAATAACAGATCTCTGCAGTGCTGGTGCTTTTGGGATGTGGAAGATGGCCTCTGATTGAGCGGATTGGAACTTTCTATTTTGAACTCTTTGAAAAAATGGATTACGTATATGTTGAGTTATAAGGCAAGAGAATTATGGGATTGGAGCATGCAGAAGATCTGGTTGTTACCCTAACGTGGTGGTTGGAATTAATAATCTAGATAAAAGACACTACAGAAGATACTGTATGGAATATAAATATAAAGTCACTCGGGTGGTTTTTTATATACGAAAACATTTATTATTGATGGAGGCAGATGGTAATTGAAGATACTGAATATACTGTTGGAAGCAGAACTTGATGTTACCCTAACATGGGCGATGGAATTAATAATCCAGTTGAAAGACATTACAAGATACTATATGGATTACAAACTTAAAGTCATTTGAGGATTTTATTTATATATGGAAATATCTTTCAGTGGTGTGGGGTGGGCAGAAGAACAAAGATAATAAAAATATTATGTATAGTAGACCTGTAGGAAAATGGGTGGAGATAGGTTAGGTTACTGATTGTTTAGTTTAGGAAAAGGGATGTTATGTTTAGATATTAATATACGTAAAAGATTTGAATTAAGAGATATATGTATGGGGGTAGAGGAAATGGGTAGATTATGAGTTGAATAAATGCCAAATTAGGATTTATTATATAATCTTATAGCTGAATGTTGCTTTGAAATGTATAGTATAGGGGGGATATAATAATAATGTTAGAAAGAAATGGTTAGTATATGGGGGGTGGTGTAAAAGGAAGGTAAAGTATTATATAATCTGATATCAATCTGGATTTTATTTTGGAGAAGCCATGGGGGGAGGGGAGCGGGAGGGGGGGTTAGGGGGAAGGGGGGGAAAGGGGGAAAAACCTGTATTTGAAAAACTTTTTCAATAAAAAAAATCTTTTAAAGAGAATATAAAAACTAACATGAACTAATATAGAAGAAAAGAGAAAATTGGAGAAAAAAGAATAGAAAAAATAAGCTTCCAATTTCCTTTGCAACAAATGCAAGTATATTTACAAAGTTATCTCACACTCTAAGATTACAATAAGAAGCTCATTTTTTCTATTATCCATTTTTTTCTAATCAAAATTAAAAATCATAAGTACATTTTTTTTGTTTCATGAAAAAAATCTATAGGGGTTTTCTAGTCAGTAGATATTGTCTTTTCTCTAATCAAAGAAGTTAATTTAGCTAACTTTGTTAGCTCCATTGTCTTCACCAACTGTTCCTTCATTGTAGGTAATGTGAAACCTTTTCATTTTGGAGCATATAATCATTTCACTGAAATTGTCATATACAAAAACAAACCACCATACATTTTTTCTAGCTGCTTGTGTATCACTACCAAAAGAAAAGTCTCTGTTTTCAATTGTACTTTAGTCTTTAAAATATTCTGATTTAATGTATATGTTTGTATCCAACATTTTCTAGCCTTCCTACATGTCCACAAATATGATAAAATATCCCCTTCATGTTGTTCTCATTTCAAACGCGCACAATCTGGGTGCCCTCCTGGATACACAGCTGTCCTTGGAGGAACATCTGACGGCTGTTGCCAGGGGGACCTTTTGTCAGGTTCGCCTGATTCGCCAGTTGCGCCCCTTTCTTGATCGGGATTCCATGTGCACAGTCACTCATGCCCTCGTCACCTCTCGCCTGGACTACTGCAACACTCTCTACATGGGGCTCCCCTTGAGGAGCACCCGGAGGCTCCAACTGGTCCAGAATGTGGCCGCGCGGGTAATTACGGGAGCTGCATGGCGCTCCCGCATAACACCGCTCCTGCGCGAGCTGCACTGGCTCCCAGTGGTCTTCCGGGTGCGCTTCAAGGTGTTGGTTACCACCTTTAAAGCGCTCCATGGGATAGGACCTAGTTATCTTCGAGACCGCCTTCTGCCACCGACGACCTCCCATTGACCCGTGCGCTCCCACAGAGAGGGCCTCCTCGGGGTGCCATCAGCCAAGCAATGCAGGCTGGTGACCCCCAGGGGGAGGGCCTTCTCTGTGGGGGCTCCCACCCTCTGGAATCAACTGCCCCCAGAGATAAGGAGAATCCAAGACCTTCGTGCCTTCTGCCGTTCCCTTAAAACTTTCCTTTTTCAACAAGCCGGGCTGGCCTAACAAATCCTTTTAAATGATTTTAAATGATTTTAAATTTGTTTGTCTTTTTAAATTGTGGACCAAATTGAGATATTTCCTTTTAATCTGTTCTTAATCTATGTATTATGTATTATGTATTTATGTGTTTTTACTTGGCTGTATACCGCCCTGAGTCCCTAGGGAGAAGGGCGGTATATAAATCTGAAGTAAAATAAATAAAAATAAAAACAAAGATTCAAGATACCTTTATACATTCTGGACAACTTTTTAGGTAACAGAAACCAATTATACATCATTGGTCACTTAGAGTCATTTACATGAGATGGGCAGTGTGTAAAAAATGTAATAAATAAATAAATACAATTTTGTAAAAAATTATCTTCAAGATTAGAATTATAATATAAATTTCAATCCTTCTAACTACATATTTTCCCACTGATCCAATTGTATATTGGAACCAAAATATTTAGCCATTTTATCATACATTATTTCATTTGTATTTCTGGCTCATATTTCAACAAAGGTTTATACATTTTAGTAAGAACATGTTCCTCATTAGGACATAGTTCTGTTTCAAACTTAAATCTGGGAGTCAAATTTAACTTGAAGAAAACTTTACTTTTACATAGATTTACAAGAATTTATCAGCAGAAAATTAATATACATGGCAATATATTATATATTAGAACTAAAGAAAGAAGGGGGAAAATCCCCTAAATCAGTGGTTCTCAACCTGTGGGTCGCGACCCTTTTGGGGGTCGAATGACCCTTTCACAGGGGTCACCTAAGACCATCGGAAAACACATATTTTCAATGGTTTTAGGAATAATTTTATGGTTGGGGGTCACCACAACATGAGGAACTGTATTAAAGGGTCGCAGCATTAGGAAGGTTGAGAACCACTGCCCTAAATTAAGGAGGAAAAACCATACACATATTCCATTGTATTTCTGACCTCTCTCTTTCCTGACCATCTCCTTTAAATATAATAACCCTTGTTTGGAACTTCATGAAGATGACCACAATCTATGTTTATTTCTCAGCACCTGGTATTGTATCACCAAATTAACATTTCAGCTAGTCACACTCCAAAATAGGTGAACTATCCCTTGACATTTAAACAACATAGCATATAGCACTCAAGTTTAAATGCTAAAAGACATCTTGGTGCATAAGCCTGACTTCGTTGGTGGTTTCAAGTAGCTAATGTAGGAAGATAACCAACATGTTTTTTTCAATGAAATTTAATTTATAAAGTTAGAGAAGTACAATATTTCTCTGAACACTGATGCAGTATAACTAAACTAGAGAGAGGACATGGTATGCATCTTTCCACATTTCAGTGCATCTAACGCCCCATAGATTTTTAAGTAATCTTGAAGATCTGAAAAAGGGTACATAAAGAGCTTTAGCTATAAACCAATGGCTGTATACCAAGAGTGAAATTGAAATTCTGATTGTTTGGATCCAGTTATCTTACATAAACAGAACTTAAAATGTTTCTAACCCTGTATGAACTGGGGGAAAAAAACCCATACAGTGTATTTTTTACTATTCATACAATGTAGAGCAGTGTATACAGTATCATTAATCAATCTCATTTTGAAAATTGTGTGCTTTAGTTTTTATTCACAAAAACAAAATGCCTCATTACATAAAATCTTAGCAACAGCATCATAGGTAATACAGTATGCAATTCCTTCATTTGTCGATGATCTTGTGGAACTCAATATTTCTTAGATCATTTTTGAATAGTTTATGCAACTGCATCACCTAAAACGTAAGTGTGCATGTTAAAAAGAAAGGTACTATGTCACAAATAATAATGCAATACATTACAAATAACATGCAACATATACCCCTGAATGCTTCTAGTGTCTAGCACAATCAAAAATATAATTTCTTGGTAAGAAAACAAATGGAAGAAATAATAGAATGGAATGGAAGGTAATTAAGTCTGGCATTTACGGGTTTTTTTGTGTGTGTGTGTGTGTGTGTGAATGAGATAGACTAAGTGTATTGTAAGAGGCATTTCTAGAAAACATCTTCACTCTCGAATAAAAATGCACTGTAATATAAACATTCACAAGAATAAGTCGCATTTTTTCTTTTTTCTTTTTTTTTTTAAAGATATAAATGGATAAAATTTGGAACAAAATTGATTGAGGGAATGTGAATAACTGTATTCATTTTATACCGGACAAAACCCTTGCTCTAAAATGATGTATTTTATGTTTTATGTTTAAAAAAAAAATTGGGGAAAAAAAAAAGAATAAGTAGCATTGATACAGTGGATCTGACCTCTAAGTAAATGCACAGGATTGTTCCAAAAGCCTTTAGGGATTAGACTTGTGCAGGATGGGGAAGTGTAAGATATGTTTGCCTGGGATTTCAGTCTAAGAGAGCACCTGAGAGAGAACATGGTAATTTAAGGACCATGATCCAACACATGCTCAAGAAGCTCAGCCACAAATTCAGTCAAATGTCCTTATTGATGGTTCATATCCAAAGCATATTTCTGATGCTAGTCAATTCTTAAAGGAGACATATAAAACACTACTCAAATGGACCAGACAGAAATTATAACTGGACAAAAGTATTCAAAATATAATTTAGAGAGAGAACAAAGCAACATTCTTTATAGGTGGATCTTAAAAAATGAAGGTTTTAGTTTTTTTAAAATAAGGCATTGTGATGTTACTGAATGAAATTTTATTATGTTTCTGTAGCAGCAAACTAAAAAAAAAATAGTATTAGCATAGAATCTTGGTATTTTTTCTTCTAGAAAACATTCATAGAAAAAGGCTAGCTTTTTATTTTCTTTTAGCCCTTCCATCATAAAAGTAAGACTCAAAGTAAGACTAAAAATGATTGATTGATCCCATTGGAAATATTGTAAGTCTTCCCTAATTGTTGTGAGAAGAGACCTATCTCTAATACAGTGTGTCCCATATATAATGAAGACATTCCCAAGTCTTATCTAAGCTATGCCATCCAGTATTGATTTTAGAGACTTTATAACACTTAAAGCAATCAGTCTTACCTCTTGGTTTAAAACAGTATCTTTTCTGCTTATAAGAAGTATAGCCAGCTATGGCGCCAACAGTCAGCAGCACAGCTACAGCAACAACAGGAGATGTAATCTGAGCTGTCGTAGCAGAATCAACTAAGGATGGGGAAAAAAACAGTTAAGAATACCACCACAGGTAGTCCTTGACTTATGCCTACAATTGAGTCCAATATTTTTGTTACTAAGTATTTCAGTTGTTAAGTACGTTTTGGCCCATTGTATGACCTTGCCAGCTGTTAAGTGAGTCACTGCAGTTGTTAAGTTAGTAACATGCTTGTTAAATGAATCTAGATTTCCCATTGATTTTGCTTATAAGGTCACAAAAGGTGATCAGATGATCCTGGGACACTGCAACTGTCATAAATATAAAACAATTGCCAAGCATGCAAATTGTGATCATGTGACCATAGGAATACTGCAATGGTCGTAAGTGTGAAAAATGGTCATAAATCATTTTTCAGTGCTGTTGTAACTTTGAACTGTCATTAAATGAATGATTATAAGTTGAGGACTACATGTATTATAATGAAATTTCTTTATCATCGCCCAAATCATGTAAATATCAATGAATTAGAATGATGCTGTCATTTGGGATGGGTAGAATGAAAAACATAAGAACCTTCCAACCCAAATGTTTGACTAGGTTTGGTGGCAAGAAATTACTTTGTCTGTCTTCAACTCAAACCCATTTTTCCCTGATGATCACTTGTCTATTGGAATCAGTACATGAGAAACCAAAGGATACCAGAAGTTTAGAATCTGGTTTCTCAACCTCTCCACAAGATATGTCCTGATCCTTCTTTCTTCCTGTATTAAAACAAACAGATCAAAATCTTGGCTGTTTATTCAGAGGTTAGGAGGAGCCCATGGATATATGTAGATAGTTGGAAAGGGAGGGCCAACTATGACATGTCATAATGTAAATATACATATTTGCTTCAGGAAATATGATGTGGTATATTTTCTGTGATGACTTCATGATGCAGGAGTAACCATTCTGACATCGCTGTGGCTTGTTTTAACATTTCTATAGGGAGGTCTCAAACTCCTTTACCCAGATAAGAGTCTACCTCCATATTGAGGATAAAGATCCAGTATGACCTCTCAGCTGTTGGTATGTATTATTCCAATTTAATGTATAGGCCAAAGACATTTAGAATAATATTCTATTGAAATCCAGGATATAAACAAGTCATAGTTATGGATTGTAGTAGAGGTAAAGCATTTATAAACCAGCCAGAATAACTTAGGTGATATTGAAATGTGATAAATAAATAAATTCTGAAGTTTCAAGACGTTATCTCATTTTTCCAAGCCAGCAACATCAGTAGTGATGGAAAATTAATGCAGTAATAGTTGAATTTCAACTGAAGACTGAAATAAAATGAAATAAATATGATTCTGCTTATCTGCTTAGTGAAAGGACTGAACTAAATTTTGTAAGCATAGTAGTTTTGAAAAAAAATAAGGAAGTACATCGGGGTAAGGCTGGAGGAGCAGAAACAATAACATGGATTGGTTCCAGATCTAATCATCTGAAGTATTTTTCATCAAAAATTAATCTTTTTCCAATTATTCCAACTAAGTGGCCCACAGCTACTTCCAGACTAGGAACCTCCAGTTACCTTTTCTTTTAAAGTCACTTTATTAATTATACTTTAAAAATATACAGTATTTACTATTTACATAGTAAATAGAAGGTCGCCTTGACCTTCGAACCGCGGTACCCCGCCGCAGGGAGGCGGAACCGGTAAGATGGTACCGCCCCAGGCGCCTGATGGAACCTGATAGGTTCCAAAGGGAGCTTGGGCCAATCCCCGAGGATCTTGCACACGCCTCGACTGGAGACCTAGTGGCCGCTTGGGATAGAGCGGCCGCTGGAGCTCTGGATCGAGTCGTGCCTTTGCGGCCTCTGACCCGGCACCGTACTCACCTGGCTCCTTGGTTTACTGAGGAGCTGAGGGAGTTGAAGCACCGGAAAAGACGCCTAGAGAGTAGTTGGAGGGCCAGTCTTTCTGAATCTGACAGGACACTGGTAAGATCTCATATTAGGAATTACCTAGTGGCGATAAAAGCAGCGAAATGTAGCTATTTTGCTGCTTTTATTGTGTCATCAGATAATCGCCCGGCTGCCCTGTTTAGGGTGACCCGCTCCCTGCTCCACCAGGAAGCGCAGGAGGACCCCTTGGAGGGTAGAGCCGAGGATTTTGTTTAATATCTGTATGACAAAATCGCTCAGATTCGGGAAGATCTGGACTCCAACTGGGTAGTCTCAGGGGGAGGGACTGGGGCAGGTCTTGAGAATGTTATCTGGGATGAGTTTGATCCTGTGACCCCTGAGGACGTGGACAGGATTCTGGGTAGACTGAACGCGACCACTTGTTTATTGGACCCGTGTCCCTCCTGGTTAGTGCTGGCTTCTCGGGAGGTGACACGAGGCTGGTTCCAGGGGATTATAAATGCTTCGTTGGGTGAGGGTGTCTTTCCTGCCGCCTTGAAAGAGGCGGTGGTGAGGCCTCTCCTCAAGAAGCCTTCCCTGGACCCGGCAATGTTGGTAAATTATCGTCCGGTCTCCAACCTTCGTTTTGTGGCGAAGGTTGTTGAGAGTGTGGTTGCGCAACAGCTCCCCCAGCACCTGGATGAAACGATGTATCTGGATCCATTCCAGTTGGGCTTCAGGCCTGGGTACAGCACGGAAACGGCATTGGTCGCGTTGGTTGATGATCTCTGGAGGGCTCGGGACAGGGGGTGCTCCTCTGTCCTGGTCCTGTTAGATCTCTCAGCGGCTTTTGATATGATCGACCATGGTATCATGCTGCACCGGTTGGAAGAGTTAGGGGTGGGAGGCACTGTGTTGCGGTGGTTCTCCTCCTTTCTCTCTGACCGGTCGCAGTCTGTGTTGACAGGGGGACAGAGGTCGACCCCGAGGCCCCTCATATGTGGGGTGCCGCAAGGGTCGGTCCTCTCACCTCTCCTGTTCAACATTTATGTGAAGCCGCTGGGCGAGATCATCTGTGGTTTCGGGGTAGAGTACCATCAGTACGCTGACAACACCCAGCTGTACATCTCCACCCTGGATCACCCCAACGATGCCCTTGAAGTGATGTCCTGGTGCCTGGAGGCCGTACGGATCTGGATGGGGAGGAACAGGCTCAGGCTCAACCCATCCAAGACCGAGTGGCTGTGGTTTCCGACGTCCCGATATAGTCAGTTGACGCCATCACTGACTATTGGGGGTGAATCATTGGCCCCCACGGAGAGGGCTCGCAACTTGGGCGTCCTCCTGGATTCACGGCTGTCTTTAGAAGAGCACTTGACGGCCGTGACCGGGAGGATTTTTCATCAGGTTCACCTGATTCGCCAGTTGCGTCCCTTGCTGGATCGGGATTCGTTACGCACGGTCACTCATGCCCTCGTCACCTCCCACCTGGACTATTGCAATGGTCTCTACATGGGGCTCCCCTTGAGGAGCACCCGGAGGCTCCAACTGGCGCAGAGTGCGGCCGCGCGGGTGGTAATGGGAGCGACATGGCGCTCCCATGTAACACCTCTCCTGCGCGAGCTGCACTGGCTCCCGGTGGTCTTCCGGGTGCACTTCAAGGTTTTGGTTACCACCTTTAAAGCGCTCCATGGCTTAGGACCTGGTTATCTACGGGACCGCCTACTACCACCAATAGCCTCCCACCGGCCAGTACGCTCTCATAGAGAGGGACTCCTCCAGGTGCCGTCAGCCAAACAGTGTCGACTGGCGGCCCCTAGGGGGAGAGCCTTCTCTGTGGGGGCACCTACCATCTGGAATGAGCTCCCCCCGGAGATACGTAGGATCCCGGATCTGCGCACCTTCCGCCGCACTGTGAAGACCTTCCTATTCTATCAGGCGGGCTTGGCCTAATCTCTTCCCTTTTTAAATATGTAAATTTTAATCTGTTTTTAAATTATTGGGGTGTTTTAATCTGTCTGGGCCAAAATGATTTAATTTGATTTAATTTGGTTTTTAAATTTTTTGTATCTATGTATTTTATTGTTTGGCTGTTCACCGCCCTGAGTCCTTTGGGAGTAGGGCGGTATACAAATCAAATAAACTAAACTAAACTAAACTACATATTTTGACTCTTAATAATCACACAGACACAAAAACAAAATAAAACAAATGCAAACTCTTACCCATATTTCCACCTTGACCTGAAGTTTGCTCTTTCTCACCTAAGATAAGGTCAATAACATAATTATTTAGAGAACAAAAGCATTTTTTTAAAAAAAACACCACACTATAGTACAAGTGCCAAAAGTACCAAGTATCAAAATTTTTCAACAACATATTACAGAAAATATATCCTTAAAAGAGAGAATAAAATTGATGGAATAAAAAAAATAATTTATGGGGTCCCTCTAACCTGTGTCAGAGATTGGGACCCATTGGCATTCAAGTGACAATATAAGCAAGCATGCGTGTTATTTCCATGACACTAGACACCACTTCTGAGCATTCCATTTCATCAATGTGATACCTTGTTGATAATATGTTATGATCTGTTTATATATTAAAAAGCAGGCTAGAAAATAATGAGAAATCTACCAATTAAATTATTTTGCCAGAGAAAGTAGAGAAGCATGAGTCACCTGGGAAAAAAAATATGTGTATTACCTGCTGGGCGTGGAGCTAAAGGTTTCCCATCATTGAGATCTAAGTCATTAAAACCACCTAAAAAATAAAATTAAGTATTTTGTTACTCTTTTCTCTTTCTTTCATACTCTCCTTTTCTCCTTCTTGAGGATTTCAGAATCTATCTGAAACATTAGCGGGTGTACCAAAATGCATCTTGAAGTGTCTTCAAATTGCTTGATGGCATTTGGCACCAATATGGTCAAAAGCAGAGTCTTAAGCAATCATGCGGATTAGCAAAGGAGATTCCTATGCGTGAACTAAAATGAAAGTCAGGTAAGGAGGAATCTTGCAAGGAAGCAGCACCAAAGGAAATTGTTGTGGCCTTGTTTCACAACTCAGGTCTTTCCAGGTCATGCAAATTTCTGCAGCCAACTGCCACTCAGGTTTTCTTGCATAGACATCCACATTTCACGTGGATGCTATTCAATCTCAGGAGTAATTTAGCTCAATTTTACATACTATTCCCTTAATCTGATGACATATGTCTACTTTATAACCTAATTAATATAGATAATATGAACAATACTTTCTTTAAAGTACTAAAAATTAAATTAGAAGTGCTGATCAATATGTTCCAATAATTTTGATCTATGGATTTAAATGAAAAGGGTGGAAAAGTAGTAAATATTTCAAAACTTAATGACAAAATGAAATCTTACCAGTTCCAATGCTGCCGCCACCGCCACTATTAAAGGAATTTCCTAAATCAATATATTACAAATCAATAAACACAATCAAACCAGTGAAAAGAAAAATATTATGAATGGATCTAAACAACACAAATTCCGTTCTTACCACCGTTTCCATGATTATCTGAATATGGTCTAAGGTCAGGATATAAGTTAGGTCGAGGTTTGTTACCTAGGATAAATATTTCCAGATATAAAGTAAATCTCTATTGTACATTTTATTTCTTTAGGAACAATAAACATTTCTTTAATCTATTCTTCTCCAGAAGAACACTTTGGAAGTTGGATTACAATGCCCATAAATGCCAATTATTATTATTATTCTTACCAATACTGGAATATTATATTTTATCTTTGCTTACCTTACAATAACCATTAGGAATGGGCAATTGATGGAAAGGGCAGGAAGAAATGGCATTTATCTTTAAGAATTAAGCAGGAGTTGCACTCTGGAAAAACCAGCAAACCACTCCAAGAAAGGGTCAAAACAGCAGTATATTAGGAAAAACTCCTTAAAGGCTGTTGGGAAAGTTTCAGTTGTAGTTTTAGATCTGACACAGAGAAAGCTTTAGCATTGTGGTATTTATTTGATCAGCTGCAATTTAATGCTTACCCCCTGGTGGCTTTTTTGTTGGTTCAGAAGGCTTATCATCTAAGCAAAGTAAATGAAAAGTACTGTATTATTAAGATTATCAAAAAAGAGGCTTACAGTAAAAAAAAAAAAAACTAGTAGTCAATTCTAAAACTCATTGTGATGTTGACAACCCAATTATCAGATATATATTGATGGTCGTGCTCATTTGGTTCTATGAGGAAGTTATTTGGTCAATACAGCTTCAGGTTCAAAAGGTTGTTTTTATTATTTACAAATATATACATGCATACGATAATGAACAGGGTGTCCTGTTAATTTTTACCCTAACTGTATGACTCAGATGTTGAGAGGAGAGAGAAGTTCATGTGTTATCTCGCTGAGAGATAGATGAGAGAGAGAGAGAGAAAAGGAGGAAGATATCCAAATGGTTTCTAGGTAAGAGTCCAATAAGAGAGTTCATTGGCTGATATAGTCACATGTGATGTCTGTAAAGACTTAACCCCTTCTAGTCTCTGGTGCATCATATGCAGGCAATATCTGACACCAATCCTATCTTCTCTTTACTGGAAATAAACCCTCAGAATTAGCCCCAGCTGGACAACTGAACTCCTCTTCACTTTTAAGGCCCACTAAATTACCAAGAACACGTCTATTAATATAGCTATTAATATCATAGAATTCATATTTGCTATTTTCAGGAGGAACAAAAATAAAAGAGGTTTAAAGCTTCCAATATTCTATACAAATTTATCAATGGTATTCTTAAAAATGGCTGAAAATCAAGCCAGAAATCACACTCTTGTCCCCTTTGGCTCTCTTAAGTATTTTTTTTTAAATGCAAAGAAAAGGTTGCTTATTTCTAAACCTATTCTATGGGGTTGAGATGATATTTATATGATTGTCCTGTGAAAAAAGTTCCTTTCGAAGGGATGCAATTTTCAGGACTTTTAATTTTTTTAAAAACGACAAGAAATAAATACTGAATATCTCCATGTTCAATCAAAGGGAATTTAGCTTCAAGATATATTCAATTTCACAAATATTTTATCTCTAAGATTGCCTGGAAGTATATTTTCTGTATTTGATAACTGTTTCTAAATTAATATATTGTATGCAGTATTGCTTAGTAAAAAGTGTTATGAAACATGCTATATTTAATATCGCTCTCTAATTAGATGCATATGAATATGAATAAATATCATTTTTATAAAGATGTATGCATTTATATTCTTTGGAAGCAAGTGTGTACAGCTTACATTGGCTGATCTTGAAAAGTTAAAAAAGGTCAGACATAGCTTGTACCTGGCTATATTTGGATTGCAACCTACTAGGAAAAAGTAGAGCTTTAGCAGAGCTTTAGGCTAGATCGCTATTTTTTAAACTTGGCAATTTTAAGATATGTGGATTTCAACTCCCAGAATTCCACAGCTGGCTTCTAGGAGTTGAAGTCCACATATCTTAAAGTTATAAAATTTGAAAAACACTGGGCTAGATCTGGGGTGTCAAACTCGTACTGTCAGGGAGTCGTTGTGACATATCACTTTTTTCCCTTTTGCTAAACCAGGTGTGGGCTTGGCCAGTACGTGATGCATCTGGCGTGCAGGCCACGAGTTTGACACCCCTGTTCTAGATCATGGGTGTCCAACCTTTTGGCTTGCATAGACCACACTGAGTGAAGAAGTATTGTCTTCGGCAACATATAAAATATATAATAGGGTTAATATATATAAATATTGCTAAAATCACATAATAATGTTAAACGATCTTGTGGGGCTGCATTACTAGCTGTCCAGGACTGCATGCAGGACCACCTGTTTAAAATTTTGTGACATATCAATGATATACAGTTTTGCCATATCTGATTTGGTGGGAATACATTGTTTAAACAAAGACTTTAGTTGTAGTCATCCATCATTTTAATTTTCTAAGAATTCTTATGGGACACCATGTGCTGAAGTAGTATTGAAAATAATTAGAATGTTAAACACTGAGGCTTGAATTTGCAACATGTCACATCCTATTCATTTTTTTTAAATAAAAAAATCATTTAAAAATCAATGCAAGAAGTCTAGTGGGCTTAAAAAGAAGTGTCTACTGGTGGCCATAAGAATAATGCTGTCCACCCTCAACATAAGCTGAAATATTTGCCTTGTTCATTAACAATTTTTAATTTTTTGATATACTTACTTGGGTCAAGAGCATCTTTTAAGTCAAAATCGCCATCATCTATCAAAAGAAATACAAACATTAAAGTGTTTAAAAACATCTTGTTCTCTTTTTTCTTGGCCTAATCAACTTGTTTATATTCCATATTCCATATGCTAGCATAAAACTCTTGATATGTTCCATACAGTCATTACATGTACATATTCTACATATAGTATATATTGCTACAGTTGTATGAAGATACTTTATGCTACCAGCAGCCATTACTGAAATGCTCATTAATGAGCCATGAGTCCTCCATGGCTCCATGTTTCCATAGGGTAACCTGTAAAAATATTGCCATATTGTACTGTATATGGTAATATCTCATAGTGAGGTTGATCGTGGCATCCTTGATGTTAGGAATAATGCAAATGTATTGTTGTTTACTCAGTTCCTGAATATAGTTTCTAATGGACCGTTTTTCCTTTTTTGCCCATCACCAGTCTTAAAATATCCTGTCCAAAAGATTTTTGATCAATGACAGATAAATTCACAACGATAAGTTCTATGAGCTTTCAATAACCAACAACTCAGTTATATGAATATTGCACAGATATATTATTTAGAATACATTGGAGACATCTGAAATAAGCAGCTGAAATTCACTGCAAATTCAATTTTTACTGATCAAAAAAAGAAAAGAAAAGAAAAGAAAAGAAATAAACTTTCTGATTATGGATTCTGGTGAGAAAATATCCACTATATTTTTTCCAAAAAGAATTACACCTTATTTTTTTGGGACAAGTCATGTGAATGATTGATGGACCCAGAGTATGGCATTCTGTAATGACAGTGTGAGGTAAGGAGTATGTAGAGCTGTTGGGGAAAAAAAGATATCTGATTTGTGTAAGAAAGAAACTCCAAAGAAATATTTCTCAATCGGCTTAAATACAATATAAGCTGAAGTCAGGAGAAGTTTTGGCAGGCCTTCAAGATTCTGTGAGAATCCCTTAATCCCATTAAAATTCTAGATTATGTCTATTTCCAAGGGCTGAGTATCTGACAGCACAATGATTTCAGTTATATTATGGGCATGTAGAAAGACTGTATCAGAGACTGGCCTATTCCTATGTGCCCACCATATCAAGTGTGACCCCAATGTTCTATGAACATCTTTGCCAGTTGATTAAACTTGAGTCAGCTGCTGCATTAAAAGTGCAAACTTCTGACATTGTGAGATGAATGGTATCTTATTGGTTTGAAGTTTACTCTTCTTCTCAGCTCTCTCTGCCCAGTTCCTCTGCCCCAAATTCAAGTCAGATCACCATTGTGTTTTGCCACTATATCCTCTTTTCCAGTCAGTCTGAAGAATCTCTTCGTCATTTGCCCAACACTATCAGGCTGCCTTTCCCCACCTCCAGTGTCCTTATTTTATAAATTGTTTTCTTATTGCAAAAGCAAATGCAGGAAAAGGATCAGAACAGATCAAGGAAATACTGTTTGGAGATTATTATTTTTATTGGCTAGTTGAATGATGTATTGGTCTATTTAGACTGCTTACTCAATACCAAGGGGACAGCACTCACAAGATGGCATGAATAAGGTTCATAAGATATGGGATTGGAAAAAATGATTATTGTACCCAATGCAGAGACAAAGAGCATTGGTTACTGGGCTGAGAAAAGTTTGGGCAGCACTATAACCTGGAATTGAATCCTTGAAAAAAGTGTTAAATGAACAACTAATGACACCAAATCTTCATAATTAACTTTGGGGAAAGTTGCTGCATAGGACACCACCAATAACAGTGCAGTTCTTCCCTATTACACAGCAATAATGGACTAGAATTGCAGCATGAAGAGATAAAAGTACAAAAATAATGAATAATGGGCTCTGGAAAAAATGAGGAAGAAGAAAAAGTTGATGGTAAGTGTGAAAAAAAAGTTGTTACAAAACACTGGCACTGTGAAAAACTGGTCTAGTGAAAAGAAACTGTAGGTTTAAAATTGGACTAAAATGACAATCAAGCAGTCAAGTACCAAAACTCAAAAGGATTATGGAAATGTGGAAGGAATATATTGTCACTGGTGTAAATTGGGAGAGAAAGCGAATAAAATTTCTATGAAATATGGCTATTTATACTTATACAATATTTATTAATAACACCGGCATGATGCTATCTGAGTCATGCCTCTTTCTGATTTGTATCCAACAAATAAGACGGGGAGGGGGCATGGACATATCAAAGTGGCATGGAAGTTGTAAAAATGAAATGTGTGTTTGTGACAATATAATTGACATTTTAAAAGTCAGGTTAATGTATTATTGTGAGAGGTAATAGTGACAATACTTTTAGTATCATCTTTATTAGTCAAGATTGAATCAAGGATAGAGGGTGGGAAATACCCTGGTGGCGCAGCAGACTAAAAGCACTGTTATTAACACCAGCTGCCTGCAATTACTGCAAGTTCAAATCTCACCAGGCTCAAGGTTGACTCAGCCTTCCATCCTTTCTAAGGTAGGTAAAATGAGGACCCAGATTGTGGGGGCAATAAGCTGACTTTGTATAAAATATACAAAAGTATGAAGGCTATTGCTTAACGCATTGTAAGCCGCCCTGAGTCTCCAGAGAAGGGTGGCATATAAATCAAATAATAATAAAAATTATTAGCTACTGGTATATAGCAAATATGAGAAGTATTTTTGATTTATGGCTCATGTGCAGAAAAGGAAAGAAAATGGAAGTTACCTACCAAACATCCATAATTTATTATGTTTTATATTAATAATTATCACAAAGAATACATTTGGTAAAGCACACTGCTTACATGTAGAGCTGTCTCTGCATGTAAATTCATAATTGTAGTTACATAAAGAGGCAACTCCCAATGCAATTATTTTGGAACAAGAAAGTCCACATACTTGACTTAATAAGTGTTGTGCTTAAAGGCTGAAACATTTAAAAATAAGAATCTAGATTCACTTGGCTGCACAGTGCACAGATTAGTTTTTACCAAATTCACATTAACCATCTTCTTTTCTTTAACATTCCCATTCCTCATTCTTATCCATTGCAGACAAAGAGAACCAGATGCAATACTTTTCCAGTAATATTTTTTCCTTCAGCTTAGAAAAAAATGTCTTTCACTTTAGTAATTTAAACTTAGTCATTAAAAATGTTTCAGATTGTGTAGTTAAAGACATTTGATCAAAAACACCAGACAGATATTGCCAATCAAAGCTGTATGCTGAAATTGAATTTATTCAATCAATTGATATTTATTATGGTCACAGACCAGCAAATTTATATAAAGATTAAAACTTTTTAAATTCAGAAGGCACCGAGAAACATTTACCTTCATTCAGAGATTTTTCATAATATCTGGAGACTTTAATAATTTACTAAATTTGTCATATCTTTCATTAACAAAATTGTAGATGAGCAGGCTGACTCGGTGGTGAGATCAAACATGTCATCAGTTTGGCATCTTTGTGCTCCCATTAGAGACCTACATCCAGCCCCCTGTGAATTCCACCAATTTAATGCCAATTTACCTTGAACGTTAGTGAATCAGATTCTTGCATATAGGTAGCATGTAATAATAACTACAAATTGTAATCAAGAGAAGACAGACCTGAATTATTTCTTTTTCTATCACTGTAAATGGAAAAGCTATACCTTTGCTGAATGGAGAAGATACTACAGTTAGTATGAAGAAACTACATATTACAGTTCTTAGTTATTATTTGAATAAAACTCTCATGATCATCTACTTGAGGTAAAATTTATGGGAACTAAAGTTCTATAATATCTGAAAAGGTATATTTATTTTGGCACTTTTATTTATGTCTATTTATTAACTTGTATTGTATTCCAAAATTCTAATAAAAACTAAGATCATTTTGTGAATTATACATGAATGTATTGTTATAATTTGGGAATCAACTTGATAATTTTAAGTAATGAATATATCATGATGGGATTGTTTGCATTGTAAAATACAATATCTGCTTCAATATTTCAGTAGAAAGGCTTACAATGAAATAAAACTAAATGAATATTTCCAATTATTTCTTAATTCATTTCAAACATATTCATAATTTCATAATTTAGCAGATGTTCTGATCTGCAGATATTTTTACTCATAAACTTTTACCCTGAAACTTGTACAAAAATGAAATAAAATGATCCCATCCCAACATCATGTTAGAGATTTTATTTCTACAGAGGAAAATATCAGAGCAAGTTCTATTCATAGGAAACAAAACGGTGATAGTTGGCATCAAATGTGTTGAAAAGTTTTAAGTATTGAAAGGTTTTTGTTTTAGAACAGCGCTATCTATGCAACCAAGATAATTTTCATTCTAAAAATCTAAAATATAGCTGAAAGCTATTTTAAAAATCAGTAGCATCCAATACCTGCAGTTGTCTAGCTCCTACTGTTCTAAATACCTTGCTTCAAACTAGAAGATTAGAAATTGTTCTGCAATAATGTGAACATAGGAACAAATGACAGATCACTTTTTTAAAAATTCCCAATTCATTTTAGTGATTTTCATTCAAAGCTTCACCTACATATCTGTATGGAAGGCATACAGTCTCTGATACTAGTCTCGCTCAAGTATTGATCAGTGGTCAACACATGACATAGGTTCAATTGACTGTCACATTGATGCTATTGAGTTAAATTAATTAACATACAACTTGGTATAAGTCGGTTTCCTACCAACCTTGAAATACATAAGTTGGCTTTCGATATTACTCAAGTCTAAAATACTTTGCTTTAGAAGAACACTGGAATCACACTAATATTACACATAGTATCCATCACCAAAACCAAAGAGTTCAATAACTTACCTGCAAGAGTTAACAGAACATATCCAATGCACAAAAAAACAACTGGCAGCTTCACCATGGTCTTCTCTCTTGGCTTTTATTTTTATAGTATGAAGTAAAGGTATTAGAACAAAAAAAAATTCTTAGTAAAGTATGTATCTGTCCAACCTCAAACACCTTCAAATCTTGTAGATACCTTAAATGTTCAATCAACAGGGAAGGTGGGAACAAAACACAATCCAGTCACAAACTATCTTAACATTTGGCAGCTGTTGAGTGCAACACCCACACATTGACGTTGCAAGAACCATCCCTTAACTAATACGTAGTAAGAGGCATTTACATTGAGAAAGTGGGAGGAATCAAACTCTTGGCAGCCCTGAAGAGGCCTGGATCAAATATTTTCCTTACTCATCTCTCTTCAAAGAAAATTCCCAACCTTTGTAAAATTGTTTTCGAAGACTCAAAACAGACAAACTTGGTATGGTATAAAAAACATACACATACCTTGCACTCATCCTGAAGAGAATAATGTTGTATAGGCTATTTCTATCAAATCCCTGGAAATTAGGAACTGTTTTTTTTATTGGAGATGTTAAATACTTAGAAAAATACTTCTTTCATTCATTAAATCAAGTATTAAATCTATTTTCTGTCGTTAAATATTGAAAAATACCTGGATGTCACTAGTTGAAGTTGTTTGATCAGTACTGAAAGAGGCAAAGGAAATATGCTGAATTTCAGGAAGCCAGAATCTTTACGAGATTGTAATTCTCCCCTTTCCAGCCAGCTGCAGACTCATACATCTGTAGAGCAGACCACGGAAAGGTGATCTAGATTCTAGAACTTCCGAGCCGCTGAATTATGCAGCACCTGCAAGGCTCCAGGCCTAGTTAGTGCTTCATATAGGTATGTAATCCAGAGTTAAATAGTTTCATCTGCACAATGGCCAGTATTTTATACTTATTTGGCATACATCTTTGATTTACAGCTATTTGTTTAATGACCATTCAAAGATATGGCCACCGAAAAAAGTCTTAGGACTACTTTCACATTTATGGCTATTACAATACTCCCATGGTCATATGATCAAAATTTGGATGCTTGTAAGTGGCATGTATTTATGATGGTTGCAGTGTCCCAGGGTCAGGTGGTATCTTTTGTGGCCTTCTGAAAGCAGTCAATGGGGAAGAGTCATTTAACAAGTTACTAACTTAACTGCAGTGATTCACTTAAGAGAGTGTTGGTGAACCTTTTCGGCACCGAGTGCCGAAACAGGAGTGCACGTGTGTACATGATGGAAACTGGAAGAGCAGTGCCAGGAAGATGATCTTCCAGTTTCTGGTGCGCAAATGTGCACTGACCACCTGGTCTTGTGGTTTCTGGTGCACATGTGTGTGCAAGGACCAGCTGGCTAGTGTGCATGCGTGCGTTGGAAACCAGATCGGCTGCCTAGTGCACACATGTGCACCGGGTGGCTCCTCTTCCGGTTTCCAGCACTCCCACACACATGAAGACCAGCTGGCCAGCACACCCGAACCTGGAAGAGCAACAGGCGACTGCTCGTGTGCCTGAAGAGATGGCTCTGTGTGCCACTTCTGGCACGCGTGCCATAGGTTCACCATCATGAACTTAAGAACTGTGGCAAGGTCATAAAATGGGGCAATGCTCACTTAATAACCATCTTGCTAAGCAACAGAAATTCTCTGCTCAATTGTAGCCATATGTGAAGGACTACTTGTATTTATAGCACAAGCACAAACCAACTTTCCATGATTTATAAACTGCAGAATTTAGTAGGGCTACTGCACTTGGATTGCAGAAACTCAAGACAAATAAATAGCAGCAGAGATATAGAAAGTTCCAACCCTTTGCTGGCATCTATCTAATGTTTGTCTATATTTTTGTATTCCTTTTCTGGGAGCCCAAAATTTGAAGCATCATCATACAATTAGCTTTTTTTCATACATCATTATATTTTGTTGCAAAAATTACTTTCTTGAATGGCATTGATTTATCTTCCATAAGATGAACTGATAATTGAACTGATAATCGAATGAATAACAACTATCTTGCTTTGTCTTGGATTGCTTAGCCTTCGCAATCCTCGAAGTGTGAATACATCTGAGAAATAACACCATTTTCTAATTTCTCAATGTAATCGCTACGGTAAACAAAATACCAAAAGTTGTTCAATGTGGCATTCCTAAAAGGAACATATTGTGTTAATGTAGCTGAATTTATACAAATATATTTGACTTGAATCTATCTGAATTAGTCTGTGTTTATCTTGGAATATGTTTGTGCTGGATATTCCGTTACGTGCTATTGAGCTTTTTATCAAAATGGATCCAGGTACCTATCTGGTCAAAAAATAAATATTTCATATTTCATAAACCACTTCTACTTGATTTAGATCCTGAATCCTCTTCTAAAAATAGAAAATTCTATCCCGCAAGGTCATTCTCTCAAAATAATCAGGCAAATAATTTTAGATTTCTTTATTAAAAACAAATGACAAGTTTTAATTACCAAATATTTAGAGATTCTCATAATCTAAAGAGCCATGAATCTATTTAAAAATTAAACATACTGAACTATAGGTATTTTTCATGTAGCGCGCATGAATCATATTGTCAACCCATGGCAATGATTTGCTTTAGAGATGAAAGGCCTAATCATATGCATTCCTTCCAAAGAACAATACCATCTAGTTGAATGGTATTTACATCCAAATACATGCAGAAGTGTAGCCAGGTCTGCACATTCTTACACACATTTACATAGAATATTGTACAGTACTATGTGAAACTTTATTCCAATTTTTTAAAATGTATAGGATACACTATTAAGTGCATATTCCAAACATGTTCTCATTATTTTTATAGCGAAGTCTGAACACACTGGAATAACATGAGAACTCCTTGCTAATGTATTGCAATTGTATCTGCTGGTTCTTTAAGCTTCCCCAGTAGTAGATAGGTGTCTGGATTTGATTATTTAAACTCTGAAGCGAGCTTTCAATTCCAACTAGCCAAACAATTGTCTCCAGGGTTTTGTTTATGATAAATCATGGGGATACTCTCTCATTAGCTGCAGATAAGGACAAGGGAAACAAATGATAAACTGAAAACAAACCATTAGTTGTCTCCTAGCTAGACTGCTGGTGGATGAGGAAAAACAAATAGATGAAGGCATCTTATTCAATAAATCATGCTTAGTTTGCCACAAGTAGTTCGGTGTATTTATGGTTTGAACTAAAGTCTTTCTATTCATTAATAACATGGAAATATCTTTATCAATAGCAATCATTTTTGCATCAGTCCTGGTTCATGAAATAAGGATTATATCAAAATATTGCCACTTAGCAAAAGCTAAATGCAATCATGCACACATTTTTCTTCAAAATGCAGGTTCTTGCTGAATTTATTAAGATTTGGAGCTGAACATATGCTACATTCACATGACTCAAAATTGATATTTGGTTTATTGAAATGCAAAGGGCAACTTAAAAATCCATGCATTGCTTATACAGCTAACTTGTATTTAATTTAAATTGGAAGTTGGCCCAATATTCATGTCTAGAAGGCTATGTATACACATATCACATTATGCAAAGATTTACTTAATTTACTTTGGCATGATGCTTAAGCATGAGTTCCCCTTAATATGGCACCCACATTTCTTAACAGTTTCATTTTTTGTTTTCAGTTTATCACAAATTTAAATATAGTAGGATATTTAACTCAATTTACATAGTCAGTGACCATTTCCAAATCTCCTTTTAATGATACAATATAAAATGCTCAGCTCATATTTCTACTCAATTCATATGTTGGCACTTCAAGGTATTGTACATAAGGCATCTGCAATTGAAGTTTATTATGTATTTTTTGAAAAATATTGCACAAACAAATAAGTCTTTATGAAATGTAAAGCATAGAACTAGAAGGGCACTTATGAACTGTAAGGTAAATTCTGTAATCAGAGGCACATGCAGTTTTAAGTAATTTTAAGCGGCAATTCCATTACTGAAGTTACTTTATTATGGAATAAAGAGCAAAACAAGAGCCAATTATGGACTAATTCACATGCTTATTTAAGTTTATAGTTTAGCAAGGAATGTGCCTGCTCCAGACCTCAACTTTATTCCCCCCTCTGAAAGTAGTAACAAACAGCTCTGACAAGTTACTTTAAAATGGGAGAGTAGCATCCAGCTGCAGATGATTCCCCAAAGTAACTTCCTCAAAATAGTATCACCAAAATTTTGTGGTAGCTTTAAATTATTATAATGCAATTTTATCACTCTTTTAAAAAATCACAGAATTGGAAGGGTTTATTTGGACAAATGTTTTTCAAGCTTGGCATCTGTAAGATGTGCAATTCCCCGAATTCCCAGTCAGAATGCTAACCCTAAGCAAGCTTGACTAAGCAAGCTTAGACCTAGAGTTCCTCCTCCTACCACCACTCCAAAAATCTTAACCTCCCAATACCAAAACATTAATATAAAGAGGCTCCCTTGTTGATCTGACAGTGAGAGAAGGGATGGTACTGTATCCTAATATCATTGTTGCACGTAACCTGTCATAGAAATCCAGGATCCATGTCCCTATCATATTTGGTCATAACTGGCCTAAGAACCTAAGCCACTATATACCTTGGCTATGTTCCCACATTTAATTAAGGCTTACCAATGGCAGATGTTGGCAGTAGGAACTAGGAGGCATTGCAAACATTTCCCACACTAACCCTAAGCAAACTTGATGTAAAGATGATAGATTAATCTTATGGCTATAAAGTGTTTTGGATTTCTTTTTAAGAAAGTATTGTAAAGCCTGTAGGAGCATGGTGTATATTCTTTAAAATCACATTTGTTTTCAGCATTATGCAGCTCAGAAATACAGCCCACTACACACAAGTAATAAACCTTCAGATGCAAACATGTTCAAGATAAGGATTATTTTAAGATTATTTCTGAGTCAAAACTTTAAGGCAACTTAGATTTTTAATGCCTTCAATTCCTATGTACTTGTATACAATGATAAAATTTCAAAAGGTTTGCTAATCAGATAAGGCATTTACTCCATGTCAAATGTTCTAAATGTGACCAACATGCAGAACATGCAGAAAGAAAAATGTTAATGTTTATGAACTGGAAATTCAGGGACAATGGGACTTAGTCCTAAGTCACTTCTTACATATTTATAAGACTGTATTAAGAGCCACTCATCTGATAAGAGCAAACTTGTGCTTCACCTCCAATATCTAAATAGTGGGCCTTATCCATATGGTGTCGTCAAACTGTAATTCGGAGATATCTACAATCAACATAGCTTTCATTAGTGAACAACCTGCCTTAAAGTACTTTACAAGTATACCCATCTCCCTTTTCAAGGTTCTTGCTACAAAAAAAGAAAAGAAAAAAAAAGAGAAAAAAACTTTAATCCAATCAACAAATGCCATAAAAATACATTTGAAAAACAATAATCACCCTGTATACAATTGAACTTCAAAGGATAAATGGTGGATGAAAATATTTTTCATTGATTAGAAACATCACACTTCCTTTCTAAAGATCTTTCAACAGGCCTATTTTAAAGATCTACTATGCAATTTCATGGTGTTGCTCCTTCAGGGGATTATGCAGGCTACAAATCCAGTTTCTGGTCTTTTCTTCATATCAAATTCTGCTATTGTTTCTGCAAAAGTGTACGTTGAACTAAAAGGGGAAAATAATGAAAAAAGTTATATTCTCTGCTACTATGTACTACCTGAACAGACAGAAGATGAAAAACATATAGGCCACAACAGAAAGTTGTTATAGCTCATGCTACGTATAATACTTAAAAACCTCCAAGCAGGCTAACATCTTTTCCATCCTTATAGATAGAGATCTCCCCTTTTTATTTATAAAAACACTTAAATAACAAACATCCAACTATTAATATCAGCTTAAATAACAAATAAACAAGCTATTAATTGGGGTTGAACTGCTTAAAAATTACAGATGAAGAATTACGAAAGGCAAAATCATATTTCACTACTTGAAGTCCAGTACAATATTTCAACAGTTACATTTTATCCCACTTAAGGAAGGAAACCATAAAGATATAGGTACAGCTCTTTTTTATTTTCATATTTGTCTTTTGAAATCGGTGAGCTTAAGACACACTATTATTTGGCCTTTTAACATAGCAAATTCTCTGGTGCAAAGTCATTATTCTTGACCCACTAAAAGAAAACTGCTGTCAAGCTTCTGATTCATTTCAGCCATAGCCAACTTATAATTGTATGTATAATTACAAGTATTAATTTTTCCAGTTGATGTTGTAATCCTGAACACACTCGGAAGTAAGCATCACTAAATGCATTTAGTCCTTAAACAGATTGTCCTAAGAAAGTATTTAATACTTTAAGTATTTAAAGAAAGAGCAAACTGCTTGTCCAAGGTTGTCTACTCTCTTCCTTTTTTTCCTCAATTAGGTGGGTTGTAAAATATTGCCAAAATCTGTCACTCACTTTCCTTTAAAGACTGTGAGTCTGAGGCATAATTGTAAATGAAGAGGATTGTGGTTAGTGCTTTCCTTATTTTAAAGTTAAAAATAAACAAAAAGTCAAGACAGAAAGGGCAGCTTTGCCTCTATTTTCTTTAGATTAAATGTAACCACTTGGCCTTTATTATCATTCCCAGTTCCATTATTTCTTTATGGCAATTATTCCTTTTACTTTAGACATTTTCTTCATTAAAAAAAATCCTAAAAAGACTTATATTTCCTAATTTCTGACATATCAGGATTCTTAGATTTCAGGATTCTGATTAAACATTGAAAACAACATTAGGAAAAGTTTTTAATATGCTAGAGAAAAGCTGTAAGTAAAGATAAAATGATAAAGGACAAGTATGAATATATAAATAAATCTGGATTCTCTATGACTTGAAGATTGTTTGAAACTTTGCAAAGTGACAAACAAATGAAGAAAAGATTCCTACAATCTTCTGTGGAAGGAGCAAAATGAAACCTAATTATAATAGCCTGAGCTTTGTTTTACATGTAGTAATTATGTCTGGTTAAATCTAGTCTGAGCAATGCTTAGTATATTTACTATCAAATTCAAACGAGATTAAATAGCTCCATGCAAATTTCCAAGAGCCTATTTCAATGGTCTTGGTCCAGTCAGTTCTCTTAACTGAGCTAACTGTATCTAATCTACAATACAAAAATTAGCAATAAAAGAAAATGATTCACTATGTTGAAGAAAATGTTTTTTTCCCCCTTAAATGGGGCACTGTAGGTGTGGCTTGATAAAATTACCTAGGTGGGAAGCTGCACAAAATCACAAATATAAGCCATTTTTGCAGGTGAAGAAAGGTGTATATGTAATTTTTAAAAGCTCTTTATTATGACCTTACCAGCTGGTGCTGCATGTGCTCCCTGCTGGCTTTCCACAGGAATGTTTTCTTGATCTGTAGAAACAAGCTCAATTAAAATACCTTACGTTCATGTATCTTCAGTTCAGTCTTGAATAGAGTAATATTCTACATCCACAGTTTATTTCAAATTTCCATTGAGCTTTTCATTATTTTGGGAACCATCCAATGTCAATGTAGTTAAATCAATTATTTTAGGAGATTTTACAACCCCAACTTTTTGGGGTTTCAAGTCAAGTTGGCTGTAACTTACCGCTTTGTTTGAAGCAAAGCTTCTTCTTCTGGTATGCTATAAAACTTGAAACCGCTCCAGCTATTGCTACTACAACGGAACTAATAATGCCAGCTAGCATGCCTGGAGAATCTGTGAAAAGAATTTTCCCAATTAGAAATTATTATTATTATTTTTTAGCAAATGATGAGAACATGACAGAACAGAAGTAAACATATATACATAGTCCACGTTATTAGAAGTAAAATTTCTATGGGGGTATGGCAGTGTTCTCATAATTGGCTGTCTAATTCAGCTACCCAAGCGATTGCCTCTGGCATTGCTTCATGCAGATTTTCTAGGGAACCAGGGAATGCACATTATGGGCAATCCTGCGCAATATGTTTAATAGTTTGCATATTAGCACCACAACAAGGGGGACCTTTCCATCCCCACTGATCCTGGGCAGAAGCACTTCTTCCAATATCACACTTAATTTCGTTCAATTTCAATCAGATAAAGCAAGGCAGGTCAAAACCAGGTAGTTTGGTAGAGGGATCACTAATGGTCAGAAAGTACCTAAGAATGCTCTCTCCAAGGCATTCTCAGGGTTAAACTGGGTAGATGTTGAGTGATTAGCTTAACATCAGGATTTCAATCTTGTGAAGGGCTGTGCATTATCCTGGTAAATGAGGAGGGCCTTGTTGTTCAGCATCCTTGACTACAGCTGAATTGTATTCTAATGTGGAGTGGTATGATATTGCTAAGTACTAAGTGCACAGGAGTAGGATGCAATGTGTCAGAGATGATATGTATTGTCTGGTGGAGTTGGACAGTGACCATTTTGATGTGGGAGCTATTAAGCCACATGCTGGCACAATATTCAGCTGTGGAATAAACCAAATCCGAGGCTGTTGTTTGTAGGATGTTAGCATCAGCACCCCAGGATGTTCCAGCCAGTCTGTTCAGTAAATTGTTGCAGCTTTTCAATTTCATGGCTGTTTTTTTCTCGATGTTGCCAGAAGCTTAGTAATCTCTCCAGTGTTAACCCAGGAAGTTCAGATAATTATTACATTTTAAAATACAGTTCTGGAATTTCACTGAAGGTTGGTAATTTGCATATCTATTGCTGATGTGGAATGTGGCGACTTTTGTTTTTGTTAGGCTTGATTGGAGACAGCATTTTTTGAAGTAGTCATCTAGCTTCTGGATGTCCTTTCTATCACTGAAGTTGGTTCTTTGGACTGTGAGATTGATATCATCGGCATAAATAAATTTCCAAGAAACGTTTCAGGCAGGTTATGGATGTACAAGTTAAAAAGAGCAGGGGATAACACTGATCCTTGTGGTTGTCTGTTATTCAATTTATGATATCTGCGTCTCTTTAATTCTGTGAAAAACTTAAAAGAACCTGTTATTCAACATGTTGTCAATCAAGGTACAACAAGGTATAATCTTGATTAATTTGAGAAGTCTTTCTCTCCAGACAGTATTCTAGGCCATTGAGACATCAGGAAAAACAGAGACATTTTTCATTTTCTTTTGGAATCCACTCTCCAGGTAGGAAATTAATACAATGACTTGATTGCTACGATCACGTTTGGGATGAAATCAAGTTTATTCTACTTGGATTACAGATTCTACTGCGAGGGCTATTCTGTTTAACACAAGTCTTTCTAAAAGTTTGTAGATAACTGTTGTGGCCTTTTGGCCACTGGCCCCTCCAGCTACCGAATCAGATGAGGAGGCGGCATGGGAGTCAGGGCCAGCATCAAGGCAACCTGAGAGCTCTGAGGGGCAAGAGGAAATGGAGCTGTCAGAGATAGAGACAGAGGCAGAGCCTGGGCTGTCCATCAGCCCTCAGATGGAGAGTCAACAGCCCCCAGGTCTTGAGGTGGAGGAGGAGAGGAGGAACAGCTGGGTTGAGTGCCTGACGCGCAAATCAGAGGTGGGTTTCAGCAGGTTCTGACCAGTTCTGGAGAAGACATTTTGAGTAATTCAGGTAGCAGACATTTTGAGTAATTCAGAGAACCGGTAATAAAAATGCTGACTGGCCCCATCCCCATCTATTCTCTGCCGCCCGAGTCCCACCAATTAGATGGATCCGCCCCAGGCGCCTGATGGATCCTGATAGGTTCCAGACGGAGCTTGGGCCATTTCCTGAGGATCTAGCACATGACTCGGCCGAGGACCTGGTAGCCGCCTGGGATCGGGCGGCTGGTGGGGCCTTGGACCGAGTTGTGCCTTTGCGGCCTCTGACCCGATGCCGATCCCGTGCGGCTCCTTGGTTTACTGAGGAGCTGAGGGAAATGAAGCGCCGGAAAAGACGCCTGGAGAGCGGTTGGAGGGCCAGTCTCGCTGAATCTGATCGAACACTGGTAAGGTCGCATATTAAGGCCTACCTAGTGGCGATAGAGACGGCAAAGTCTAACTACTTTTCCGCCTCTATTGCGTCATCAGGGAATCGTCCGGCTGCCCTGTTTAGGGTGACCCGCGCCCTGCTCCATCCAGGAGTGCGGGAGGATCCCTTAGAAGGCAGGGCGGAGGATTTCGGACAATACCTGTATGACAAAATCGCCCAGATCCGGGGGGATTTGGACTCTGACTGGGTAGATCAGGGCAGGGTGACGAGGAATAGTCTTGAGAATGTTATCTGGGAGGAGTTTGATGCTGTGACTCCTGATGATGTGGACAGGATTTTGGGGAGACTTAGTGCGGCCACATGTTTACTGGACCCGTGTCCCTCCTGGTTGGTACTGGCTTCCCGGGAGGTTACACGAGGCTGGCTCCAGGGTGTTATCAACGCTTCGTTGAGTGAGGGTTACTTCCCCACCGCCTTGAAAGAGGCGGTGGTGAGGCCTCTCCTCAAGAAGCCGTCCCTGGATCCGGCAATATTGGCCAACTATCGTCCTGTCTCCAACCTTCGCTTTATGGCGAAGGTTGTTGAGAGTGTGGTCGCACGACAGTTTCCGCAATTCCTGGAGGAAACATCTTATCTAGATCCGTTCCAGTCGGGTTTCAGGTCTGGGCACAGCACAGAAACGGCATTGGTCGCGTTGGTTGATGATCTCTGGAGGGCTCGGGACAGGGGTTGTTCCTCTGTTCTGGTCCTGTTAGACCTCTCAGCGGCTTTTGATACCATCGACCATGGTATCATGCTGCACCGGCTGGAAGAGTTGGGGGTGGGAGGCACCGTGTTGCGGTGGTTCTCCTCCTTTCTCTCCGACCGGTCGCAGTTTGTGTTGGCAGGGGGGCAGAGGTCGACCTCGAGGCCTCTCATTTGTGGAGTGCCGCAGGGATCGGTCCTCTCGCCCCTTCTGTTCAACATTTATGTGAAGCCGCTGGGTGAGATCATCCGTGGCTTTGGGGTGAGATACCACCAGTACGCTGATGACACCCAGCTGTACATCTCCACCCCAGGCCACCCCAACGATGCCCTTGAAGTGATGTCCCAGTGCCTGGAGGCTGTACGGGTCTGGATGGGGAGGAACAGGCTCAAGCTCAACCCTTCCAAGACTGAGTGGCTGTGGCTCCCGGCATCCCGATATAGTCAGTTGACTCCATCACTGACTATTGGGGGCGAGTCATTGGCCCCCACAGAGAGGGCTCGCAATCTGGGAGTCCTCCTGGATATGCAGCTGTCCTTGGAGGAACATCTGACGGCTGTAACCAGGGGGACCTTTTGTCAGGTTCGCCTGATTCGCCAGTTGCGGCCCTTTCTTGATCGGGATTCCCTGTGCACAGTCACTCATGCCCTCGTCACCTCTCGCCTTGACTACTGCAACGCTCTCTACATGGGGCTCCCCTTGAGGAGCACCCGGAGGCTCCAGCTGGTCCAGAACGCAGCAGCGCGGGTAGTGACGGGAGCAGCATGGCGCTCCCATGTAACACCGCTCCTGCGCGAGCTGCACTGGCTCCCAGTTGTCTTCCGGGTGCGCTTCAAGGTGTTGGTTATCACCTTTAAAGCGCTCCATGGCATAGGGCCTAGCTATCTGCGAGACCGCCTGCTGCTACCGACGACCTCCCAGCGACCCGTGCGCTCCCACAGAGAGGGCCTCCTCGGGGTGCCATCAGCCAAACAATGCAGGCTGGTGACCCCCAGGGGGAGGGCCTTCTCTGTGGGGGCACCCACCCTCTGGAATCAGCTCCCCCCAGAGATAAGGAGAATCCAAGACCTCAGTGCCTTCCGTCGCGCCCTTAAAACCCATTTATTTAAACAAGCCGGGCTGGCTTAAGATGAAATTTTTAACTGTTTTTAAATGTTTTAAACGTTTTTAATTGGTAAATGAGTTTTAATTGGGCCAAATTTATATATCTTTTAATTGTTTTTAATATTTGTTCTGCATGTTTTTTTTAATCTGGCTGTACACCGCCCTGAGTCCTTAGGGAGAAGGGCGGTATAGAAATCCAATATAAAATAAAAATAAAATAAAAATAAAATAAATGGGGAATTTGCAGTAACCTTCCCCTGGAGTGGGGTGGGAATGGAGATTTTACAGTATCCTTCCCCTGCCACGCCCACCAAGCAATGCCACGCCCACAGGACCGGTAATAAAAAATTTTGAAGCCCACCACTGGCACAGATATGCAGAAGGCAGAGGAGAGGAGAGCAGTGGAAATCTATGAGGCGATCCTTGGGAGCCACCAATGCTAGCAAAGCCCCACCCTAGCTCTGGGGATAAACTTGTCATACCACCCCACATTCAAAGACTGGGCAGGGGGCGGAGATAAATAGGTGTGGCAGACAACTATTCACCTCCCTGCTAGACAGACTAGTTAGCCTGCTGTGTGTGTGAGAGAGAGACTTTTTGCTGGGGCTGCTGGGGCTCCTAATAAAGGAATCATTGATTTAACTACAGAGGGTTTGTCATGTTTGGGAGACGGGTCAGAACAGTAACACAGAGAAGAGTAATTGGCTGTAACTTTAGAGAAGGTTGGATTCTTCCCTGGTTTCAAAATTGCAATAATTTTGGTCTTCTTGAATATAGGAGGAAGCCATCCTTAGTATAGCATGGAACTAAAAAACGAAGCAAGCCTACGTTTAGTTGCTGGTCCACTGTTCTTTAGTATTTCTGGGAACATACCATCAAATCCTTCAGCTTTTATAAAGAATCCAGCCTCCTCTACACTTTTTCTGGTGTAAATGGGCATATAAAGCATGTGGTGGAAGATCATGCTTCAGTAGTCTAAGTTCAGATCTAATTTATCTGGAAAATTTCTTATAACTTCTTGTCCTTGAAGTAGAGACGAGATGGTTAGCTATGGATTTCACGTGATGGTAAAATGTTTTCTCGATGATACGGATGAGGAGTCCAATTTTCAGATAAGGGACCAAGCTTAAAAAAGTTTCCCCCAATTAGAAATTTAACTTTATCTGCCAAGGAACATTCAAAATGTGGGGAAAGTTAGAACAAGGGATTAAAAGAAATACTTACCTGTTTTAGCTCCAGAATCATCCCCACCTTTAACCAAAGAATAGTTGGTTAAAGAAGGTTTATTACATATTATAAAGTCATGCTGTATAAGACAGAAAATGGGCTACTTTTGTTACAAAGTAAAGTAGAAACCAGGTTTTTTTATGAACTAACCTTGATGTATGTTTGAAATCAGGAGATCTTCCAAACATTTCAGTTCAAATGGGATGTTTCATATTTGAAACAGTTTAAATCAGTATGTTCTAAGTCCCATGCTTAAAACCAAGCCTTAAGCCTTCCTGTATACTGCATGTACAGAGTATAGTATTTTTTGCTGAAGTGTTGCTCATTATTGTAATTACTCAGAGATGTTCCAATATGTTTGGTTATAAGCTATTTTTAAAGTTAAAACTTTTAAATTTCTTACATGAATTATCCACCACAAAATTGTAGAAATGAACTTAACTCTCCTTCTAACAGCAGGAATTTAGAATAAAATGTGTTTGATAACTTAGCTTGAATTTGAGTTGTAAGGGCAAATGGCATGCCACTAAATAGCAAAAATACTACTTACACATAAAGCATGTAGTAGAAATAATATTTTCAGTTGTGCAATTAAACTAATATATTTAATTCTCAACTGAAGTACCTCTGATGGATTACAGTCACCTCAAATTAATATGGCAAAATAAGGCACTAAATTAACTATTATGTTTGCTCAGAAGGCAGACCATTGTTTCAATTATATAGGAAGAAGCAATATCACTGTCTAGTTTCAGTTTTCAGTTATATTCTTATTTCATCTATTTTTTGCACAAAACTTTTATTTATGATGAAAATATTTTGCCAGGGTTGTTAGAATCAAAGCTGATTTAATAAGTCATAATAGTCATACATGCCATACATTCTATGCTGTGGCTCTGTCAATTCTATTTTTTTCAAATTTCCTTTTATACTTGATATAGCATGTTTGCGAGTAACAATGAAATAAAGTCTATGTGTCTGATTACTGTGGCTGCTTGACAACCAATGTCCTGTTAAACATACAGTATATTATGCTTTTTGTTTTAATAAACATTACTAAATAGGTTATGAAATGAATAAGATACAGCTTATATGAATTAAAAAAATCCTGTTCTGTACCTGCCTATAAAATATTAAGGACTGCCATTACATTATTAAAAAACATGATGGCTTTTTTAATTGACTTTCATTTTAAATGAAAAAGTTCACAATCCTGGGAGGAAGATTTTACTAAATCATTAATCCATGTGCACCTCAAAAACAAATTAATACAGTAAGAAAACTGATGCAGTAAGAAGAATCTGATGCACCAATTTGAAGAAGAGTTTAGTGCAAGAAAAGAAACATATGTTCGTAACAGCCTACATACCTGAGGAAGGGTTCGAAGGATAGTCTAGATTTAAAAAAAAGTGTATAATAATAGTATGAGAAGCAACAGTCACATTATGCTTGAAACACTCAAATTATGCTATTATGAGATAACTGAGAATCAAATAATAAGTTTCTATTAGTTGTACATGCAAACCTACACATGAAACCAGGAGCTGGTCGTACAGAGTAGCAATACAAGTAGACTTGGTTTAATGGTCTATCTATATTGCTTGTACAGATATTATTATTATTATTATTATTATTATTTTTTAATTTGATTTATATGCCGCCCTTCTCCGGAGACTCAGGGCGGCTTACAATGCACTAAGCAAAAGCCTTCATACTTTTGTATATTTATACAAAGTCAGCTTATTGCCCCCACAACTGGCTCCTCAATTTACCTACCTTAGAAAGGATAGAAGGCTGAGTCAACCTTGAGCTTGGTGAGATTCAAACCTGCAGTAATTGCAGGCAGCTGGTGTTAATAACACGGTGCTTTAGACCACTGTACTACCAAGGCTATTTATAGTATTACCAGGACAGGGGTGGCACAGTGGTTAGAATGCAGTATTGCAGGCTAATTCAGCTCACTGCCAGGAGTTCAATTCTCACTGGCTCAAGGTTGACTCAGCCTTCCATCCTTCTGAGGTCAGTAAAATGAAGACTCAGATTGTTGGGAATAATATGCTGACTCTGCAAACTGCTTAGAGAGTGCTGTAAAGCCCTGTGAAGTGGTATATAAGGCTATGTGCTATTGCTATTACAACAATAAGAACAGAATAACTTTGTGATCAGCCCTCGCATTTGAAGTTTGTAAAGCAAAGGATAGCTAAGCTAAGCATACAGGTAATACCAAGGTTATGAGCGTTCCCTTAGAGAACGTTCAAAGTTACGCGATAAGTGCCCCCTAGTGTTTGCAAACAAGTCCTGAAACTACGAATATTGCAGCACCACAGCAGTTGTTCGCCTTTACAAACAATCACAGAGGCTGTGCAACATTCGTCCTACACACCTCTCCTGGCCTGTTGCAGCTGAAATGGAGTTTCCGAGTGCTGGATCCACCCCTCAGAAACTCCATTTTGGCCTGCAACAGGGGGAAGACCCAAATGGAGCATCAGAGAGGCAGATTCGCCCCTCAGGAGCTCCATTTCAGCCAGCAATCTGCCGGGAGAGGCCTGCGGAGGCCCTAATGGAACTACAGAGGGGCGCACGTGGTTAAGAGGCAGTAGAGGAGACTGCTTGTTAGATTTTCACAAGGTAAGCGATCTGGCGCAGCAGGTTGGGTGGGGGGGAAGCATGAGGTATTTCAGTGAGTTGGGAGGCCTTGGGTGGTCTTAGGCAGGTGGCCTGCCATCACTAGGCCCATGGCCTTTCCCACCCTGAAATATCTCATGTGCATTTAACGAGTCTTACATTTGATTAGTAAATGCGTGGGCGAAAGGAGGGAGTGGTCCCGTTCAAGGTACGAGATTCACACTCACGAATCCTCGTGTTACGAAGGGAATGGACAGGCTCTATTACATTCGTAACTCGAGGACTACCTGTATAAGCACAGTGGCAGTTTCACTTAGGAACCACTTCACTTAACAACCAAGTTACTGGTCCCAATTATGGTTGCTAAATGATGATTTGTAAAAACACTGCTCTGCTTAAATATGTTTTAGAAAAACAACCCCAACGTTTTAAGAAAAAAGCATGCTATTAAAAATGGGAGAAGTATCAAAGTTATAAAGAAACATTATAGCAATTAATTCAGCATATCATCAGACTCAAGCAACATGTCACATGCATGTTAGTATAGGGATTGCTGTGAATGCTTCTTTGCAACAACAGTTCTGTCAGCCTACATTTTTGCATTAATTTATCTGTGGACAAAATTTACGGAGCCCAATGGGACTTTTAAACATTACTGCACTGCAATGACTGCATTTGACCCTATTTCTAAAATATGGCCTTTAGAATAATATATCTTTAGAACAGAACAATATGAATATGAAGATATATAGTCTCATTTAAGGACACTTTCAGCCTTCTTAGCAAATATAATCCAAGATGAAATGTTTTTTTAATTTTATTTATTTACCTCTCACCTAGATTTTGGAAAAGTATAAAAAAAATAATTTTACCTAAGATGAAATCAAAACTAAAATTTGCATACTAGAACATATACACACATACACAAAAGACTTTAGTTTTGTTCCAAAAAACAAATAAACTTAATATAATGAATATAATGAACTTAATATAATGAATGGAACCAATGTCAATCAAATCTGAAGTTAAACTTGAAATCCTGGATAGCATATTTTTATGAACACACTTTACAATATTTTCATATTTTCCCATTTAACATATAAACAACAAATCCAAAAGCTTACATAAAACTATACTTACAGTATATTGTTTTAAATATAGTGAATATTTGAAACATACCTGATCGTGGTTTCTCAGGTGGCAAGTCACCATCTAATAAATCTGCATCTTCAAATCCTTTAATAATAACAAAAGGAGTAAAAGCATACTTTGAAATGTATATAATGTATACAAATTTGTATAGTGGAGTTTTACATAATTTCCAGCTTCAGTCATTACATTAAGAAGCTTAACTATATCTCAGAATAATGTTTTGTTGCTATATAAATACCAAAAATGTTTCTGAATTAATAATGTTTCATTAATTATGAATACACAGATATCAACAAACGAAAATAGTATTTTGCATGTGGGCTGTGCAAATCCTTTGAAATGGTATTTCAGAACTGTGGGAACACCTATTAACCATCTCTTTTCAAAATCAAAGCACATTTATTCACATTTATTTATGGACATTGACATAAAATATGCAACATACCATAAACTAAACCATTAAAAGAGAAAAACCATGGCTAATTGCCCTCCTGATATTAGTAGCAGATGACATAATTGTATCCAGAATTTCCTCATAGTAATCATAACTGAACAGTATTTTTTTTTAGATTTCTATGGATTTATCAATTAAGAAAAATGTATTCACTTAGATTGTACAACTGAAGTGATTTAAAAAGAGCATTATTTATTAAATACAAAATACAAAGAATATTATTTACAAAAAGCATATTAATTCAGAGCACTACATACAGCAGAACATATCAAGATGATTCAATGACACTCCATGCGCAGGGACAAATTCAGTCTCAGAAGGGAAGATTCATAAGAATAAAGAGCCGAAGTGGGAAGGGACCATGCTCTTATAACACATATAGGAGTTGAAGACAAGTACATATGTATCACAATCTAATCTGATTAGGGTGGAGATGGCAGGCAGAAAAATGAGAAAGCTCTCCAAGAGATATAGCACAAGCAAGAAGTATTTGTCAGCTTCTGTGAAGACATTTCCCTCCAATAGAGGGAAGACAAGAGCCTTTCTCAACCAGAATAGAGAATAATAAGAGTTGGAAAGGACTCTGGAGGTTTTCTAGTACCACCCGCTGCACAAAACCTATACAATTCCGCACTAGTTCTTAAATAAAGCTTTTTTTCCCTCAGTTATATTTACATTGTACAAAACTAGTATTAAGAAGGTAAGGCAAATTCTAATGAGGAACATCTACTAATACCACCTAAGGCATCTTATAAATTGAAATCCCCTTCTAGACAGAAAAACTCTTCTATGAGGAACAGAAAATGCTATCTACTGTATTATCTTAAGAGTAGATAAAGACCTGTTCCTGAAGCTGGTATTATATTGGTGGAAAGTTCTGATCCTGTCCTTCTTAATTCTAGATTAAGTTAACATAGTGTGGTAAATTTGACTTTTTATAGAAAGCAATTCTGAGTTCATTCTGGACCTGTTGTGGATTCTCAAATCTATCTCTGAATCTACCTCTAGGTCTGCCTAGAATATATCTTTTCAAAATGCTAAATGTCAAAAGCCTTTTTTTAAATAATTTTTTTGGATGTTTCAGAAGCTGCTTTTGGCAAATGCATGCACAGCCACTGTTGGGGAAAAACAAAATAAAGTGAATGCACAGCTGAAAGAAGTCTCCAAAGCAGCTAGGCAACCCTGGAGAAAGATACAGCTGCTTTAATGATTCTGAAAATGTTCTTTTATATACAGTGTTGTATGTTTTAAAGCAACTGTTTTAGAGGATTGCTGCAACTCTATGATGCAGTAAATGATGGTGAATGCAGTCATTATTTGGTGCTTTTACAATTTTTTAAATTGATTTCTATTTTTTTAGAAGATCCATGAGAAAACAACACTGATTTATTTTAACCACAACCACAATCAGATCAAGTCCTAATTAATATTAGAATTGTATAAGTATGTAACATTCCATCAACACTGTCAGGGAGGAAGAAATGAAAGACAAAAGCAAGAGTGGCATATGTTACTCTTATAATTTTAAGTATTAGCAGCATTACTAGAAGCCAGTGTGAGTTAAAAACAGATCATGCCAGACAAGTCTTTTTTGATAAAGTAACCAAATTTCAGTGAAATTATGTGGACATAGTATACTTGAACTTCAGCAAGCATAGAACAGAGATAGACAGTACCACCACCAGATGGATTCTCAATTGGCTGAGCAACTACACTCAGAGGGTAGTCCTCACTGGAACTACATCTACATGGAGGGAAGCATGCAATGGGATACCTCAAGATTGGGTCTTGGTTCCAATACTCTTCAACATCTTCATAAATGAGGTGTGGGGTAGAAGGGGAACTCATCAAATTTGCAGATGACACCAAGCTTGAGGTAATTGCTAACATTTTGAAAGTTAGGCTCAAGATTCAGAACGATCTTGACAGATTTGAGCTTTGGGCCCAAGATGCAGTTCAGTGATGAGAAAAGTAACGTTATATACTTAGGAAGGAAAAACTAAATTCATAGGTTTAAAATAGGTGGTACATGGCTCAACAATAGTAACTGTGAGAGGGATCTAGATGTCCTAATGGACCACCACTTAAGTATGAGCCAGCAATGTGCTGCAGCTGCCAACAAGAGCCAATGCAGTTCTAAACTCCAGGGATAGCATCAAGACAACAAGAAGTGATAGTACTGCTTTACACTGTACTAGTGAGACAACACTTGGAATAATGCTTTCAGTTCTGGTCACAATACAAAACAGATGTTAAGACCCTAGAAAAAGTGCAAAGAAAAGCAACAAAGATGATAAAGGGTCTGAAGGCTAAATCGTATGACAAACAGTTGACGGATCTACATATGTGTACTATGGGGGGGGGGATTCTTCTAGGACTTGAAGGCCTGTCACAAAGAAGAGAGGATTGACTTATTTTCTAGAGAGTCCTGCACCAGAGAGTAGGACAAGAAGCAATGGATGGAAGTTTATCAAAGAAAGTTACAACCTAGAAGTAAGGGTAAATTTTCTGACAATGAAAGCAGTTAATCAATGGAATAACTTGCTTCCTGTGGTTACTAGGATTTCAAGAATAGACTGGACAATTCGACTGAGATGATATAAGTCTCCTGTCTTGAGCAGGAGGTTTGGCTTCCAAAGTCCCTTTCAACTCTATGATTCTATGAGTCGGCATTAAAACTGTACTTTTTGAAAAAAAACTTACCCCCACTGTGGCCATGACTCCCAGGTTTGGGCTGAGGAGGTGGTGCTGTTGCTTTTGGGGAATCATCGTGACCTATTGATAAAGAAAGAGAAGTACAACTTTCAAATTGGGATATAAATTTATTTATTTAGAAAATTTATGTGGCTGCCAAATCTACTCTTGGTGACCCTGGGCGTTTTACAAAGTACAAAACCAATAAATCCCCATCCCTCTGATAACAATAATCAGATCAGCCACTTGATGGGCTCCCTATCACTCTGGGGTCTCTTATGCTCATTGGCAGAACCATGCCTTCAGAGGCTTGTGAAAGAGTGTCAAAATGAGGGCCAATCTGCAGGGATGATGTTCCACAGGGAGAGAGCTATTACAGAGAAGGCCCTCTTCTTGGTCCCGCTAAATGGCCCTCTTTAGGAGATAGGAACCTGTAACAATCCCTGCCTCTCTGCCATGGTGGGTTGGGTAGATATGATTGGGAAAAGACAGTCCTTTCAAAATCAAAAGTAATCTAATACTATTATAGAACTAGAAAATTGCTACCTGTTTATCTGAATTAATTAAGCAAAATAAATATCTTGGCAAGTTTAGCTACAATGGAAGAAAGAAAAATATTTATGCACACAGCAGTTATATACAAGCTCTGCAAAACGTTCTGTTCAAAAACTATCGTGTATTTAAACTCTGATATAGGTTACTTGGGTGTATTTGATTCCCTCGTGTAACACCCCCTTTTTGGCTTTTAGTGGGCTTCCAAAGTCAAATTTAAGATGCTACTTATCATCTATAAAATTCTTTATATATGTCTTGGCTATGATATGATTTGTAAGTAAATTACATGCAGTTACACTTCTCAATTTTACCATAAATCAGAAAGAGAAAATGAAAGACCACATGTGAGAAGAATACAGGAAAATAATATGAAAAGGAGTCCTGATAAAATGGAGTCTTCCGCCCTGGTACTGGTTTGGATGGAAATAAATGTCTCTTCTTGAAGGAGGACATATTTCCTAACCCTTTAGCTCAGTAATACATGTTCTTGATTAAATCATGCCAGATTACTGCAGTATATTACAAGTGGAAAATCTTTAAAGAAGGCGCAAAACCATTAACTCATACCAAATTCAAAAACAAAAAGCTCAGCCATCTAAGTATTGGGGATATATTATATCATTGAGGTCACATGTAAGGCATTTATTTTGTCATTTAAAATCTAAATAGTTTAACAGCCAGTTTTCTGATGAACCAGTACCCTTTTTATATTTTTATAGGCAGCATGTACACAAATTTACATTAAATTTAAAACTGCCATTTCGATGCTTAATGAGCAATTCATTTCACTGATAATTTGGTAATGAAAACAAAATACGTATATTTACTTTCTTCACAGGCTTTTAATTTTTTATCACCATCCTTCTTATTCCCAAATATTTAAAAATGGAAACAGTGACATGACTGTACCATGAACATAATTCAAAATCTTTTCAACCTGACTTCCAAGGATGTATCTTGTAAATCTAGCAAAAATAACTTATCCCTACAAACTTAAAGTTCAAGGATAAATTCTGTCCGTTCTCTCATTTATCCATTCATTAAATTTGTCTCTTTAATATGATGAAGTACTCAATGTGACTAATAAAAACAGAATTCCAAACTTTACAAGATATAATAATGTTAAAATTAAACCAAATAAAAATTGTAGTTTCCAAATTAGATAAAACTAAACATATTTTCTAAATGCAAAGATGGTTTAGGGGCAATTCAAGGTTGTCCATTTTGTAGCCTGTATCATTTTCTCATTTTTTCATCAATCTAATTGTAATTTGTTATTAAGACATAAAAGGGAAATGTATCAGCTTTTAAAAACAAACCAATGAATTTTCTTTGGCCTGCTATCCAGAAAAACCGCTTAAATGATCAACTCTAAATGAATAGCTCCAAATAAATGGAAAGATAATAAAAGCTCTCTCTGTTCACACATGCAGATTTTATTACCTTAATACACAGCACATTCATTTATACAGAGACTGGAAAGTTGATGCTTTTCAATTTTTTTAAAACTTGGGTTTTTTTAAGACACTGAGCGAGGTCAATAACTAGAAAAAAATGTTGCTGTTTCTGCAGCTTCTGGAGAAGGACAGAGGTTTCTCACCTCTGTCCTAATACTGTACATAGAAGATGGGGACGGTAACAAATAAAATATATAATGCACATGAACCAAGAATACATTGAGTATCTCAGTAATATAAGCTCCCTTATAGTGTCAGATTTAGAATGTGTATACAATCAAGTTGCAGACAAATCCCTTCTATGGATATCTGAAAGCCTGTGAGAAGGCCAATTTTCTAGCAAGCACAAGATTTTCTAGCAAACATAATCTGCTCCCCACTCCCATGTTTATAGTTGAGAAAAATTAGTTTGATGGGGGCTTTTGTTCAGTGAATTTTCTCAGAACCATCAGCTGGCTGTGGAGAATTGAAAGAAAAAAATTAAGTCCACAGCATCTTTTAACATGGAAGTTTCTCAGCCGTATGAAGGAACATAATCTAAACCAAAGTTGCATATTCAAAGAGAAGTTAGACAAATTATGGATCAGGGACAGGAGTGAAATGGTACCGGTTTGGGCCAGTTTGGCCAAACCAGTAGTACTGGTTTGCCCGAAACCGGTAGTAAAAAAATGCTTTAAAAAGTAAAAAAAAAGTTCCGAAGATCAGCTGTGCCAATCAGCTGTGCCACACAATGGTGTTGGTTTTTTTTTTTTTTTTTACTTTTTAAAGGATTTTTTTACTACCTATTGCCCGAACCGGTATTTTTGTGTAAAGTGTGATAGTTTGTTTTTGAGCTCTCTGTGACTTTGTGAGGTTCCTGCTTGTCGCAGGGGCCATTTTGTGTGAAGTCCAGCTGCATTTGCATTGTGTGTGAGTCAGTTGTGTAGCTTTTGTTATTTTTGTGTAAAGCGTGATAGTTGGTTTTCCCGGTCACATGACCATCAAGCTACGCCCACCCAGTCGCATGACCACTAAGCCACGCCCACAGAACCAGTAGGGAAAAATTTTGAATTTCACCACTGATCAGGGAGCTGATTTTATTTTTCAAGTGCTCAAGGCAAAGAGTGAGTATTTTTCAAAGCATTTTTTCCTTGAGCTTATTTTTCTTTTTGGATGGTCCTTTGTTTCCACTTACTCTCTGAATCATGTTTTTTTTTTTCTATAATATTCATCTTAATGAATTCTGAATATTATAAACCAACATTGCTGATGCCAGTTTGGGTCTTGGTGGGATGCAATCTGATAACATGCCTCCAGAGACATAAAATTCTTCTGATTATCAATATACTGTATCTTAAGTTCTCCTGATGTTTTTTAAACAGCCAAAGGGAAAAGGGCAATGCTCTTATAATGCAAGTAACAGTTGAAGACAAATACAAATGTATTACACTGTCTAATCTGATTAGATGGAGATGGCAGGCAGAAAGGCAGAAGAAAGCCTTCTAAGGGGCATGGCATAAACAAGAAAGTATTCATTGGTTACTGTGAAAGACATTTCTCCCCAAGTTACAGAGGCTGGCAAGAGCCATTCGCAACCAGTTGTCTTAAATATAGTTGTTTTTCTCAGTTGTACTTATGCTATACAAAACTATTACTTAGGAAAGTAGGGTAAATTCTAACAAGTGATGTTTTGAGCAACTTCTTCCAGTGCTTACCATTTACAGCATCTTCTAAGCTGAAGCCATCACCTAGACAGAAAAATCTATTAGATATCAATGTCTCATGTAGAATAACCAAACGAAAGGCTAGTGGTCATGCATGAAAGGAAATGTACATATATATAATAGAATTTAGTCAGTGAAAAACAAACAGATCCATTTGCACAAAGAAGTAAATGGAGAAACGATAAAGAAATATATTCATTAATTTTATGAAGCCTCAAACGTTTCCTAGAATGGACATTGACTTACCTGAATGTCCTTTTTCGGAACGCTGCGTATACACTCCAGCATTGGGAAAATCCTCTTATCTGACAGCAACTGAGAGAACTTTTTTTCACTTATCTTCCACTCTGTGCTCTCTCCACGCCCCCTTTTGCACCCGAATCCCCAGTCTTGAACGAAGACACCACAGGTGAACTACAACAAACTTTATTAATACAAAACCACCACAAGCAAACAACCAAAGAAAAGGGAGGGAAATGGAGTGTATACGCAGCGTTCCGAAAAAGGACATTCAGGTAAGTCAATGTCCATTTTCCAGAACGCTGCTACTACACTCCAGCATTGGGACATACCCAAGCCTAACTTCCAGGGTCGGGCAAAACACTATCCAACTCAGAGGACCCAGCCACCACTGCTTGCAAAACTCGTCTCCCAAAAGACGCCTCAGCTGAAGCATAGGCATCAATCCGGTAATGTCTTATGAAAGGCGACAAAGAAGTCCAAGTAGCCGCCCTACAGATGTCCAACACAGACGCCTGGGTAGCCCAGGCTGCTGAAGTAGCCGCACTCCGCGTAGAATGAGGCAGAATGTTCCCAGGAACAGGACAACGCTGATTCTCATAAGCGGCAGCAATACAGGCCTTAATCCAACGACCGATCGTGGTCGACGACGCTTTCTGACCCATGGATGCAGGATGAAACGAAACAAATAGGGCTTCCGTCTTCCGAAACTCGGCCGTCCTACACATGTAACGTCTCAACGCCCTGCGCACATCCAGAGTGTGCCAAAGAACCTCCCGGTGATGTCTCGGCGACGGGCAGAAATCCGGAAGCACTAATTCCTGCGCCCGGTGAAACCACGAATTAACTTTGGGCAAAAAAGCAGGATCCATCCTCAGGACCACAGTGTTAGCATGAAAAATGCACAAGTCTTTCCTGACGGATAAGGCAGCGAGCTCAGAAATGCGTCTAGCCGACGTGATCGCCAGGAGAAATGCAACTTTGAACGACAGAAACTTAAGTGAAGTGGAACCCAACGGCTCAAACGGAGACAAAGTGAGAGCCTGCAAAACTAAAGATAAATCCCAAGAGGGATAACGATGAACCGTAGGCGGTCTCAGGTTCGTAGCTCCATGAAGGAACCCCTTCACCCACGGATGATGAGCCAAGGAAGTGTACGGTGGACAGGACAACACAGTGGCCAGGGCCGCCACCTGGCGCCGGAGAGTGGCGGGAGACAAACCCCGCTCCAAACCCGCCTGTAGAAAGATGAGGACATCCTGAACCGTTGCAGACGTAGGATCCACATGAGTAGTCGCACACCAACGGCAAAAGGCCCTCCACGTGGCTTCGTAGATCCTCGTCGTGGATGGTCGACGGGCCGACTGAATCGTACCAATCACCGTATCTGGCAAACGGCCTTTCTTCAAGAGGACGCGCTCAAATGCCAGACGGCCAACTGCAGCCACTGGGGCTCGGGATGACGAATGGCCCCCTGACACAGCACGATCCGATGCGGAGGAATCACCCACGGGTCTGTCACCGAAAACTCCACAAGATCCGCGAACCACGGCCTGCGGGGCCAATGTGGAGCCACCAGTAACATCTCCGCCCTCTCCGCTATCATCTTGTGAACCACCTGCTGAATCAGTGTGACGGGTGGGAAGGCATACAGTAGACCCGCCGGTCAACGACACCGCAGAGCGTTTGTGTCTTCTGCCGCTGGGGTCGGATAACGAGTGATGAACCGGGAAAGCTGGGCGTTGGTCGGACTGGTGAACAAGTCTACCAGAGGCCGTCCGAAGCGAAGACAAATCTCCTGAAATAGACTGGGAAGCAGCTGCCATTCGGCCTGGTCTATCACTTCCCTGCTGAGCCAATCCGCTCGTGTGTTGGCTTTCCCGGAAATGTGGTCTGCGAGGATGGACTCCAGATTCCTCTCTGCCCAGTTGAACAGACGTGTCGACTCGAGCATCAGCGACTGTGACTTCGTCCCCCCTTCCCGGTTTATGTGCGCTTTGGCAGATGTATTGTCCGTGAGGATCAGGACATGGCGACCCCAAACCAGCGACTGGAAATGCAGAAGGGCGAGACGAATGGCTCGAAGTTCTAATAGGTTGATGCTCTGTGCACGTTCCTCTGGAGACCATTGTCCTTGGCCCACCTGGGCACCTAGGTGGGCTCCCCAGCCATGGAGACTGGCATCGGTGGTGATCACGACCCGGTCTAGTTCCAGGAAACTGCAACCTTGCAGGATGGCCGACGACTTCCACCAACCCAGCGACAGTCTGACTCGCGGAGGCACGACCACCGTCCTTGTGGAGTTGGAACTGCCTGTTCTCTGGAATGGAAGAAGAAGCCATTGCAGTGGACGAGAATGTCTGCGTGCCCACGGAACAACGCGGAAGCACGAGACCATCTTCCCCAACAAACGTGACAGCGTCAACAGGGGAGCCCTCCTCCGGGTCAGCACTTGGCCCACAAGCGATTTGATGTTTTTCGCCCTCTCTGAAGACAGGAAAACCTGACCCTTCTCGGAGTCTATCAGGGTCCCGAGGTGTAGGATCGCGGTCGTGGGGACGAGCTGGCTCTTGTCCAAGTTGATGGAGAATCCGTGCTCTCGGAACGTCGAGAGCACCCTGTCTCTGTCTTGCGCCGCTTGTGCCCTGGACGAGGACAGGATCAGAATGTCGTCCAGGTAACATAACACCCTCACCGGAACTGTACTGAGAGACGCGGCCACTACCGCCACCAGCTTGGTGAAAGTCCTGGGAGCCGAGGAAAGACCGAACGGCATCGCACAGTACTGGTAATGCCTGCCCGCATACTCGAATCGCAGAAACTGTCGATGCGAAGGAAGCACTGGAACATGCAGGTAAGCCTCTCGCAAATCCACCGACTGCATCAGGTCCCCTTGGCGAATAGAAGCCAGAATGGACCGAAGAGAGTGCATCTTGAAACGACGGTAACGTACCGCCCGATTCAACTCCTTGAGGTTGAGAATGCCTCTGACCCCTCCCGAACTTTTGGGAACCAAAAATAGAATTGAATAGAAGCCGGTCCCCTGCTGGTCCAACGGGACCGGTTCTATCGCACGGATCTCCAGCAGGTGTGCTATCTCTTCCACCATCAAGCTGCGAGAGTCTGTGGACAGGGAAACTGGGCACCGGACGAACCGTCGTGGGGGCCGATCCGTGAATTCGATTGCGAGGCCCTCCGAAATAGTACGACGCACCCACTCGTCCGGAGTGGACCGGGCCCACCGATGACAAAAGGCCCGGAGACGACCTCCCACTGGTCCCGGAGTCGGTGAGTCATTTGCCCCTTCTGAAGGGTCTAGAAGTGGATCCACGATAGGGGCGCTTGGAGGAGGACTGTGATCTGCCACGCTCTCTGAAACGTTGTCTGTCGGAGAAGCGGTCTGGAGCCTGGAACGACTGCCGGTAAGTCGAGGGGCCTCCCTGCCCCGAGTAGGAACGAAATGGCTGACGTTGTGTGTAAGGGGTGTAACGCCTGTCTTGTCTGCGAAAGGACGAGGGCATAATTTTGCGTTTGTCTTTGTCCTCCACAAGAATCGGCTCCAATGCCGTGCCAAACAAGTTCGGAGCTTTATACGGGGCCGCCGCCAACTTCCACTTGGTTTTCACATCGGCTTTCCACGGCTGTAGCCAGAAAAGGCGTCGCGACATGACAGAAGTCGCTAACGCCCGCGATGCAAACTTGACAGAGTTCAACGAAGCATCCGCCGAATACTCTGTGGCTGCAATAATCTTGTTAATATCGTGGCGCAAGCGGGTATCCTCTGGAGGGAGTCGTTCCTGAAGTTGGCGCAACCAGATCAAAGAGGCCCTATTGAAGAATGAAGTAGCCGTGGCAGTTCTAACAGTCCAGGCCACGGCTTGATGAGACCTACGAAAGGCCAATTCGGTGCGCCTGTCCTCCGATTTGAGCCCCTCCAGCGGATCGGATGAGACCATCGAATGCGAAGTGAGAGACGCCACCGGTGCATCCACAGTTGGCACGTCCAGCATGGCTTCAAGTTCGGGCGCTGCACAGAACAGCTTCTTATCTAAATTGCTTGGCGCAGTGGACGACCCCGGTTGGGCCCAAGGCGCTTGCAGAACATCCGCAAACAGTTGAGGGCACGGAATAAAGTCCTTCTCCTGCTTGACTTGCTTAAACAGGGCATCATGAGGACCGGTCTCAGACGGGGTAGCCGGTGGTTGTGCTCCCACCGAACCCAGATTAGTAGTCAAACGAGCCTTGTGAAGGAGGGACTTAAATAGTGAGGGACGAAACAAGCCCGTGAAGGCTGGAGTGTCAGGTACCAGACCTTCATCCTCAGAGAATTCGAGGTCATCGGGGCCCTCCTCGTCATGGCCCGAGCCCTCAGACGAAACAGACTCACGAGGCGAGGGGGAACGAGCCCTGCGAGAGCTTGAAGAGGCCGACGGCCCCGAAGTCCCCGCCGCCGATGTCTGGGCCGCTGTCTGCGCTCCGGCCGCCATAATAGAAGCCAACGCTGTTGACAACATCGTCTGGAAGTCGAACTGAGACGGAGGCGGAGGATTGTCCACCTCTCGGAGTCCCGCTGCTGTAGGCGTGAAAGTGGCCGAAGGTTGGCGCCGAGGGGGCGGAAAGGCCTCCAAACCCGCTGAGGAAACATCAGGCATCGACTGGGACACGCCCTTCTGCCAAGCCAAGGAACCGGATTGGACCACTCTCCGCTCCGAAAGGTCAGGAACAGGAACAGCCTGGTGGGCGGATCCCGCATCACCACGGACCAAAGAAGCTGACGCCTGCTTGGCCTTCTCACATCTTTTTTCCAAAGCCTTATGACGCCTGAGAGCATCCTTCTCAGCGGCAGAGGAGGTCTTAGAGTGGCGGGACTTGTGACCGCCAGACGCAGAGCGTTTGCCCGATTGTTTCTTGCGGGACTTAGATCTGACAGGGCTAACCTCCTGATCACTGTCTGAGGAAAACGAGCAATCCGCCATGGTGAGGATGCCCAAGTTGAATAGTAAATATAAATTAATTGATAAATAGATTTGTAGTAATAAATAATGAATCAATGATTGATTGCTTGGTTAATTGATTAATTGATTAACTGATTGGAGAAATGCTTATTTGAATAATTAATTGGTTGATTGGATGACTGGCTGCTTTGAATACGAAATTAATAGATATCACTTGTTTGATTAATTAATTGAATGATTAGAAGAAATCCTGCTTAATTGATAATTGATTGCAGAATTGATAGTCTGGCTACCGCTCTGGGCAATGTACTATGCCCCAACAAGCAGTGCTGGCCCTCCTGCCACGCTGATTCCAAGGGCCCCCTGTTTCTGCCCAGGAGAGAGGACAAGCCTTGCACAAAAAAAACTGTAAAAGGGGTGAGCGATAGACTGGTGATGCTCCTCCCCCCCTTCTTTCTTCCTTCGAGTCAATGCCCAGACCGGGACAGAGACTCAGCCAGCCAGACCTCGGAGTAAAGGCTGCGGCCCTCTAATTAGGGTCTGCGCTGCCACGAGGTGAGTCCAAAATGGCGGCCGCCCTGATGTCTCAAAATGGCGGCCGCAAGTTGGTGGCGTAGTGATAAATGGCGGCCCGCCCGAGCTTCGTAGGATGGCGGAGCGCTTTCCCCCCCGGCGCCGCTCAGACGCGGACGCCAACCAGGGCTGGAGATCGGAGCGGTTTTTGGCGCGTCGGGAGGGTAGCGAGCCCCGACAGCCACGCTACACCCCCCCCCAGTTAAAACTTACGGCCGGAGCTTCGAGGCCGAAAATCAACACCGCCAGACCACAGCGCCGCCCGCAGAAGCCTGACGGGACGGTCGCTGGATGAGTCACACCTCCAAATGCAGCGAGCCGGTAGCCGCTCCTGAAATCACCTCCGTTCCGGCTCGCCGTTCCACACGAGAGTCGGGGAGCTATTCCTTAGCCCCGACCTCTCTGGCAATAGTAAAGCTTCACCGGATCCGCCCCGCAGGGACAGAAGCCGGCAGCAGCAGGCGCTGAAGCGCAAAAAGCCGGTACGACCCAGCTCCCTGGGCATGAAACCGGCAAGCAGCTGAGGGACTCACCAGAAAGAAGAAATAAATCTAAACTGAACCGAAAAAAGGGAAAAATAAAAAGGGGGCTAATCAAAAATAACCAAAGGCCTAACGCAACACTCAGAGCACAGAGAAAATCCTCCCAGTGTGTCAGCAACTGAGAGAAAGACTGGGGATTCGGGTGCAAAAGGGGGCGTGGAGAGAGCACAGAGTGGAAGATAAGTGAAAAAAAGTTCTCTCAGTTGCTGTCAGATAAGAGGATTTTCCCAATGCTGGAGTGTAGTAGCAGCGTTCTGGAAAACTCCACCAGGGGTGAAATGCTACCGGTTCGCACCAGTTTGGGTGAACTGATAGTAATAAACTACAGTCCTAACCAGTATTTCCAATGATCAGCTGTGCTGCACGATTTATATTCGCTAGAAAGCAGGAAATCCTGCACACATTGTGCATGCGTGTTCAGCGTGCGTTTGGCATGCACTGTGCATGCATGCATGCAGCGCACATTTGGCGCGCATTGCATGTGTGGGCAGTCAACCAGTGGCAAACCGTAGAGGATTTCACCACTGAATTCCACTGATATTTCTTACAATTATTTTAAAGAGTTTTCTTACATTAATAGGAAAAGAACATCCGAAATGGTTCAAGACAAATATCTGTTAAGAGCATTAATAAGTCAACTTATTAATTGTGGCCCAGTGGTTAGAATCCAGCCCATAGTCTGGAGTTCGACCCTGACGGGGCTTAAGGTTGACTCAGTCTTCCTTCCTTCTGTGGTCAGTAAAATGAGGACCCAGATTGTTGGAGACAATATGCTCACATTGTAAACTGCTCGGAGAGTGCTATAAAGCACTATGGGGTGAAATATAAGTCTAAGTGCTATGTGTTGCTATTGCTAAATGAAGCAACATAAAAATACTTGATTTTCTTAAAAAAAAAACTTCCCCATTTTAAATCCATAGTTTAAAAAAACTTCATATGGTAGACAGGACTAATAAGAACATATGAGAACACTCACACGTTGACCAGGAAACAACAAACTATAAATATTAAATTTTACTTCTATTGGTCTTCAACTGTCCTCAAAATTAAGAGTATATTTTTGAACCATAGCCATTTATTTCAAATGCAATCACATTCACAAAATAAGACAGTTCCAAAAAAAATGCTTACTGTAAAAATCTATACTTACTTGGCTTTTTGGTAACTGTACTAGGCCTTTTAGTAGGAGCTGAAATATAAAAGTAGAATATAATTGGTTGCAATGATCCATTAAAGCAGAACAGAATAAACATTTAGTCCTTAAATCCTTGTTTGTAGTCCTTCAGAAATGAAAACTGGTGGCATGGTTTTATATAACTCTGAAGTGAAAAAGCACTAAAAAACACTTTATATAATTTTGTAAAAGTACTCTCATTCAATGAATAGAAAGCAAAAAAAAAAAAAAAAATTCTAACTACCCCACCCATTATTTTGTAACTGTAAGCACTAATGCTAAAATATGCTCCATCATCATAAAATGGCTCATCCCTGCAACAGAGTGATGCTAAACTGATTTTGTAATAACTAAATCTAAAAGTTGGCACAGATTCAATTTTTTAAAAATCTTCCCAATCTCAACAGAATATTGAAAAAAAAATTATGTGAAGATGCTTGAGATTCCGATTGTCTATCAGCAGGATGATTGCCTCCAAAAATATGGACAAAAGAGGACAAATTTGGTTTGGTAGAGGATGCCACCAAAAGAAAGATAAGGTTTCACAGTGAGCGGCATCCAATCTGGGGCTATAGGGGATAAAAAGCACTGTTGAAAACAGTTCTCCAAAATCTACATGAAGGACAGTTAGATGATAGCTCACAGTGTTGTTTATTGTTCCATTCTAAACCGCTCTCCTTTATGTCTCCTAGAAATTTGTATTTGAAATATATTAAGTTATCCCATGGTTCCCTGTGTACAAATAGCATAACAGGAAAATAAAAATACAAACACAGACATATTATTTTATGTGCCATACATAATGAAAAACAGTTCTTTGCTATGGTTATTGCTAGTAAACAGGTTGAAAAGCATTTCAAATGCCATGTTTACCATACTTTCTCTATATTTGTTATTCAAGTCAACTTAATGGAACAGCGGAAAATACATAAAACTGTTTGGGATTGTCTGTTTGTCCATCAGTGGAATGGACAAAAACAAAAGTATTCAGTTAATATTTAGTGAGCAGAAAAAAACCAAGGGAAAAGAAGATCAAGTGTGAAATGAAGTCCTATCCATCTGGGACTATGGAGAGGGGAAAAAAATCCCTAATGCATCTCTACAGGAAGAGCCAGAGCAGCTGCTTGAAATGTTTTCAATTCTTCCTATCTAATCTATGTTTTTCTTTCCTGTCTGTCCACATGAGCTACAATGAGGTACATGAACACATCCAATGCTTCCTAGAACACATGCACGCACTCATAGGTACAATATGGAGAAATAAGAAGAAAAATAGATACAAGCACACAGACAGAAATCCATTATGAGTAGACTCCCAGACTCATTCCCATACAGGCAATGTTATGTCCACTACCTGATTATAATCTCTGAAGAAAAAAAAAGGCATGCACAGAAACACATAAAACACTTTATTACATTACACAGAAAAAATGCATATAACTCTTATAATTCTTATTGATAAAGAATATGGAGAGTATTCCAGATATGGAATGATCTGTGCTTAATTTGTTAGTGGTGATCATGATGATATAATATATAACTGACTTTCTTAAAAAAACAAACAAAAAAAAACCCTAGGTATGGTAACAAGCACATATTTAAAATCCTACAAAATTAGCATGCCATACCATTTAGAAAAGCTTAATTTGTAAGTTAATGTCTTGCCAGCAAGTTAAAGTTTACTAGGAGAATAAATGCACTGCTCAAACCAGGAAGATCCTAAGCACCTAGATTGAGCAAGCTATAAAACGATGTAGTATTATACAACTCAAGCAAAATCTAGTTATAATTTGAGTAACATCACATTATGTGATATTACTATTACTATAATATATATAGAAAGTCATTTTCAGGTCTTGTAAGATTATAACTACTTACCATCAGTTTCAAGTGCATCACTTAAATCAAATGTATCTTGTCCTATTCCAAAAAAACAAAAATAAAAAAAAGCAATTTGTACTGCTTTGAATGGTTTACAGACACAAATGAACACAAATACATAATATATAAATGACAAAAGAAAGTTCAGAGAAAAAGCAAAAAACAAATGAACATCTTGGGAGGGGCATACCACTCATTCTAGCTCAGCGTCTGGTGTTTTAAGTGTTTCTTTTTAAAAAAACAGGTAGAGGACATATGAATCTTGGGTGGAAAGGTATTTCAGAGGGCAACAACTAAGACAGAAAAGGCCCACTTCCAGGGTCCCATTAGAAACTTTGTTTAATTGATGGAGCTATGCTCATGCTAACTCTGTCAGACTCCGTAAAACAGGCAAAAACAGCAGTTCCCCCAAATAACCTGGTCCCCTGCTATGAAAGGTTGATAACCAGTGAAAATCAACACCTTGCACTGCACCTGGAAACCTACTAGGAACCAGTACAATTCATGAAGCAAAGGCATTAGGTGTCCATATCATGGCTTGCCAATAACTGTCCATGCCATAGCATGTTGCACCAGCTATAGCTTCTGGATCTAGTTATGGTTAAAAGCTTGTGAATAAAGAATTTCTTCTGTTTGCTCGATGTCCCATTCTTTCTTGTAAGTCTTAACATTTCAAAACAGTTCTTCTGGCTCTATTCATAAAATGTATTAAAAGTGAGAGTTTATCAAATTAATGTAATCATTTGGCTCACATAACACATACCAGCTAAAATCAAGTCACTTACTTAAAACAATTAATTGACAGATTCTAATATTGGGTACAAGTAGCAAGCTACAACAATGCCAAAATTATGGCCCTAACATGAAACACATACTCAGATGATCAGTATACATTTATACATGTTAGACATTTGGTGTATTTATTCACAAAGTTGACTGCTAATTCTGTGGAAAATATTGTAAGAAAAAACACTCTCACATGCCCCAACCGTTTTATTTATTCTTCTTTCAAAGGATTCTCCCACTGCTTCCCACATAAATAGAAATAAAAGAACTGGTGGTGCCCTAATGAGATCTAATATACTCAACTAAAAGGGGAAAAAAAGAACAAAAAAGAACTATGTGAGTAGAACTGGAAAAAAGAAAGATTAATGCATGATCATTTGAATATCTATAAAGTTAACATAGAGAAACATTTTGATTAGCAATATAGAGGGTCAGTTTAACAATCTGTCTTCATATTAATTTTTCTATTTAAACATCTTCCTTTAATAATGCTACTAGGGAAAATGTTTTTTTTTCCTTCTGTTACAAGGCTGTGGTATCATACTGTTCCAAATCATTCTAAGAAACACCCCCTGTGTTTGTTCCCTGTCCCTTTCGTGTCCATGGCACCATTTAAGTCATTTCTGAGTTGAAATAATTAACCGACGATATCACTGTTGCCCAGGGGACGCCCATGGAGGCTCCTTTCATGTTCCCATCAAGGAGCTGGAACGAATGATGGCAGCTCACCCCACTAAGCAGCAGCACACAGGTCTCGAATGCTGGCTTGCTAATCTCCAATCCAACGTCCTAACCACGTGAGCCACCGTGATCCTACCATTGGTGAAAATAACCTTTACTACCACCATAGGCCAATGTATTCACAGAATTACAGGATATCGATAATTGATTGTGTAGACTAGATTGTGTGCTCTATGGCTGGGTGTGCCACAGAGATTCACTGATATCTGCCCGATTGCCTTTGTTTTATTATTTTAGATTCTTTTAATTAAAAACAATGAACAGGATATTAGTGAAGCAAATCACCAACCGCATGTATAACTTGTATTTCAGTAATGCTGCTAGGTGCCACATAGATTCTAGAGTCCATCTAAAAAATAAAATATGTGATCACACCCAAAATTTTATTCATTTATCAATAAATTGCTATTTTGTTAATGGTCAAACTAACTCTTACCACCATTCTGTAAAAGTACCAAGATTGGGAATTTCTGTTCCATAGCTGCTGGGTTGAAAAGAATTTTGAACAGAGGGGAAGGAAACATCCATGAATAGAATAGCTACAGAAATTAGCAACCTGTTCACACATTTTATTAAATAATTTTAGACCTTCAATCCTTTGATAAATATCAGCGTAGAGACCATTTTGCCAGTGGGTTCTACCACACATGAAGCCAAAATAGAACAATATATTTCGGAGTTTAATTTTTGCCAGATGCTCAGCAACTCATTTTTACTCATCAATAAAGCTAAAAAGTAGATATACATAAATTCCAACATAAAATATATTATACATGACCAAAATTGTTCAGTGAAAATACTTCCCCAAATTTGATTTACAAACCAATCAGGGAAGAGGGAGACAGACATTTAAACTAAATGCCTTCTTCAACTAGTCTAATAAAGCCTTTTTTATGTCTTTGGGAGGGGTGCGATGACTCAGCGGTTAAAAACACTAAACTTGTCAGCTGGAAAGTCTAGCAGTTTGAAAGCATGCAAATGCAAGTAGATAAATAGGTATCACTTTGGATGGAAGGTAACAGCGTTCTGTGCCCTTGGCATATAGTCATGCTGGCTACATGACCACAAAAATATCTTCAGACATTGTCTCTCTCAGCTAGGAAACGGATATGAGCATCTAGAGTCAGACACGACTGGATTTTTACTTTATTTTTATTTTTACTTTTCTTTATTATTTGATTATGGAAATCAGCCCATGCCACAGAAAAATCAATCACTGGGAGTGAATGTATTATAATGCAGTTTGCTGTTTGCTGCACTTTCCTATTTTTAACACTATTGGGAAGATAGCATCTTGTATTTTACCAGTAAGGATCGGCAAAATGGTCATGCATGAATTGTTCTGGACCCAGAATAGCTATTTTGGGATGGTTTGTGCCCAAACTGAAGATGAACATTTAGATTGGGTACACAATGAAATAAATAATGCAGTTATTGCAGGCAGAAATGTTTGGGAGTCAACAACAGGAAAAATTGATTGTAGCAACAACCACCTAAGACCATGATAGTGAACCTATGGCACGCGTACCATAGGTGGCACGTGGAGCCATATCTGTGGGCACACAAGTGTTGCCCTAGCTCAGCTCCAGCATGCATGCGCACACCAGCCAGCTGATTTTCGGGCCTTCCGGCCCACCAGAAGTTGGGAAATGGGCTGTTTCCGGCCTCCGGAGAGCCTCCGGGGGGAGGGGGAGGCCATTTTCACCATCCCCAGGATCAAAAAAAGCCTCTGGAGCCTGGGAAGGGCAAAAAAGGGACCTAACGGGTCCACCAGTAAATGTTTTGCCATCGCGTGCCAAAAGCGGGGGGAGTGAAGGGGGGGCATTGAATTATGGGTGTGGGCACGCAGACACACGACCCCCCCGTGACCCCCGCTTTTGGCACGCAATGGCAAAAAGGTTAGCCCTCACGGACCTAGCAGAAGCAGGGGAAAAAAAGAAGGTGTCAAGAAGTTTGGGGCACAGAAAAGCACCATGTCTCCTTGCCTTTGAAGAAGAGTAGCAGATAATTTGCATTAGCCTTGCCCTACTCAATCCATAAAATTACTTTGAGTTCCTACAGGTTTCTTTATCTTATAAAAATCTGATAAGAGTTTTTTAGTGACTCATGGCTGATTCAACAGAACTTCCAGCATGTAACGTTTGTTTCAGAATCAAAACAAGTCTTTATTTTCCATTTCAAGCACCTAATATATGACATATTTTTTCTGACTCTCCACTCTCAAAAATCAAAAGATAAGAGGATTAAAATTGAGAACTTGAGAGATGCACGAGATTTCTATGAACTAAACTTTAAGGCGAATGAATTGGAGACTGAGGGGGAAGCGGAAAATGGAAGCTTAGAAGACCTACAGGAGGATGAAGAATTTAAGGAACGAACAGATGGGAAGGAGAGAAAGATAGAGAGGGAAGGAGTTGGTGGAAGGAAAGAACCCCTTTCCCCAAGGAGAACCCGACAGACTAAAAACAAAACAGAGAGCAAGTAATAAGTAAGTAGTAAGGAGGATGATAAAGGGAAAGGTGGGGGTATCTTTATTTTCAGCTAATATTAATGGTTTAAATAATCCATGTAAGAGAAAGAGAGTGTTTAACCGGTTGGTAAAAGGAAATTATGATATGATATGCCTGCAGGAGGTTCATATAAAAGGAGACCAGAAAGCGATACTGGAGAATAAAAGACTGGGAAATTTGTATGCCTCCCTGGCAGATCAAAAAAAGAAGGGAGTAGTGATATATGTAAAAGGACACTTAGAATCTAAATTAATTTATGCCGGGAAAAAAGGTAGAGTCCTGATGGTAGAGGTAACAATGGACCAAAGGAAATGTTTGTTGGTTGGAATTTATGCCCCAAATGGATGCCAAGTAAACTTCTACAGGAAATTATATCAGAAGCTATTAGAGATTAACTATGCCAATATTTGTTTGCTCGGGGATTTTAATGCGGTTATAGACCCAAACTTGGATTATATACCAGAGAGAGGTAAAGCCGGGAAAAAGAGGAGGAAACTTCTGCCAAAAATTTGTAAACAGATTAGAGAGGTAACAGGGTTGAGAGATATATGGAGGGATAGAAATCCGGGAAAGAAACAGGGTACTTATTTCTCCCCCAGACATCATTCCTGGTCCAGATTAGATATGGCCTGGATGACTGTAGGATTATGTGACCAGGTGTTAGATGTGGCAATTGAGGTTAATGACTGGGCAGACCATAACCCGTTGAAAATAGTATGGAGAGGAGCCCGCAGAATAAAGAGATGGAAGATGGATGTAGGAGTATTAAAAGACAAAGATTTACTCCAAAAGCTAAAAGAGGAGATGGTTTTTTTCTTTAGGGTCAATAGGAAAGAGGATACTAGTCCACAGATTATCTGGGATACGGCGAAGGCGGTGATCAGGGGAGTAGTATCATCTCATATAATTGGAAAGAGGAAGACCCAAAGACTGAAACTGAGTAAATTGAGGTGTGAATTGGAGAAAGTGGAAGCGAGGTTGCAGACAGACCCAGGGAACTTA